TGTGACTCGGCTTTGCAATTTCCAGTTGTCTATATGTATGTACATATATATAATACATACATACATACGTATGTTAAACCGCACTCGCCAACAGTTTAAACTTCTTTTGTCGAAAATACCACACATTTGCCACAGCAGCAGGTGGAAAATCGTTTAGATAATATTGAAATTGCAATAAAAGTTCTGAAAACCACTAATTAAAATATTTACAACGAAAAGAGGATTTTGTATGCATTTTGTTTGTGGCTTGCAAACTAATTCGAAAAGTTTTTGCCAAGTAGAAAACTAATTAGGCTTTGATGCTGATTTATCTTTGGTGAAAACACTAAACTTGTTTTGAATGATCCTGCAGACGGTTTGGAAAAATAGTAGTCTTCTCTGTGGGAACTGCGCTACACCCTAATATTACATTCACAGATTATTGTTGCTCCTCGCTGTTTCCTAACTACTGTTAAAGCTCGATACGATGGTGACGATTTTGAGTCTTCTGTATTCAGATTACAGCCGTGAAATTAAAGAACGGGCTCAGAGTGGAAGGATTCAATCGAAGATATTCTCTGAAGCTCGCATAAAAATCATATAGTCTTTTTAATTTTTCGTTCATCGACTCGTCCAGATTTGATGTCTACGTTAATTAAGTGCAGAGGACTTTAAAGACTCGCTTCTGTCTGAAAGTGTGACGACAAAAAATACCTCATTGACCTCTGACACAAGCTATAAAAGAAAAATTTTCTCTAAGCATTAATTTGTTTTACTCGCTTATGATATTAATTCATGCAGAAGCGACGAATCACAACCCGTTTGGGCGTTAAATCTGCTAGAAAGCTAAAACCGACGGCAATTCATCGTTCCTTCATTCGTCTTCCAACCGCGTCGGTAAGATAATTAGCGAGTTTCGTTTATCCTGCACTGGTTCAATAGCCACACGAATGGCATTTTCAGCAATCTCGTCAACTATTTCATTTACCATAGTGACCTTGTGTCCTGAAATCCTCCTTTCCTATAGCCACACATTTTTCCAACTGGTAAAGCACAAGCAAGAAATACTTTACCGAATTAACAAGAACTCTCTATTTTTGTTTAAGTCGAAAAAAAGTAATTTCCAAAAATTATCACACGTGAATACCCCCATTGATCAACAGCTGTCGAAAATTGTAGTGCATGCATTATTAAAAATTTTGTGCACATTGTACATACATACATGCGTGTGTGCATGACCGAAAAATAAAAATGTTTTCACATATTTAGTGCAAAAGTGCAAATTTCACCTACTGACAGGCAAGAGTCTAAATTTTTTTCTGTGCCACAGCAGTCAAGGTTTGGTATTGAATTATTATTATCAAAATTTTTTTTGTGCGGCTTTTGCCAAAAAACCGGGTAACCTCTTTCAATAAATTTGTTACCTTGCTATTTGTTTATATTATATTTCGTTAAATGTATTTTTTTTTATATTTTTTTTTCATTTTTATTTTTTTTAATTTATTTCCAATTTTTTAAAGTTATTTTTAGTTAATTTTTTTTTATTTTTTAATATTTTAATTATTTTTTATCCTTTCATATCACATTTAATCTTCGCCAACTCACTAAACTTAGTTGTTTACACCTGCTCCTGAACACGTAGGGGGCTGTGCGCTTGGCTGACGGTAGGTGCAGCATTGCATTTACTCACAGCACGTAGGCAATTCGTTGTATGACAATATTTTTTGGGCGCACATGTTGAGCATAATAAATTGAAGGAAAAAAATGTTATATACACTTAAGCACCTTCAATATTCCACCTACGAATAATGCAAACTCATCTTATACCATAACGAAGCGTTTCATTTGTCCAACTTAGTAATCGATTATTGGTCGATAATTGAAGTTTTACCATCAATCACCGGGTGACTTGGCATCGTATGAATTATTTAGTTTTGCTAAAAATAAGTTTTTTATGAGAAAATATGCTAAATGTTCGTGCAAAAGCTTGTATAGTAGCTTGTATTAAGCTACTAATATATATGTACATATACTCGTATATAATAATAAATAAAAATGTGTGCCATTTAATTCTTGTGTAATCTTGTCTATCAGTGGACAGACTAAATTTAAAAGTGCGCAGATTTTAAGTTTATTTCTTCTACACACTCACCGAAATAGTCCCTTCTGCTTCTTCTTAATTGTCGTGAGCACAGTTAGCGGGATTACAGCCGATCCATGCGCATATGATGCAAGCAGCATGGGACTGAAATAAGCTGTCCGCCTCATTTCTACGCTCTATACTAATTGTAATTTTGTAAGTTAAATAAGATTCATTGATAATACGAAACTGAAGTCCATGGCACAACATACATATGTATATATACATATACGAGCATTTGCTTACAAATACGCAGCATTTTTGGCTAAAAGATGCTAGGCACGCCGTAGCTGGTCGTATTGAAACGAGCTGAATTATTTTTAAATCATATTTTATTTTACGCCCCCTTTTCATGTCATTCTTCTTCTTTTTCAATTCATCTGATCGCCCACACATTTTGGTGATATTTTTTTATGCATATATTTGTATTTTTAATTGTCGTTGTAACTGCGGCAGTAATTTTGCGGTATTGATCATTGAACACCGGCCGTACGTACATACATACTTAAGTATGACCGAAAACCATCACCTTTAAACGCTTGTTGTTGTTTACTAAGAGAATTTTCCATTGAACTTGGCTTTTGGCTTTTTCCACCTTCATGGTTTTGCTATTTGTTGTTGTTGCTTTTTTGTATGCAAAACACTTGCTGACATTCCCTGAATTCACTGCTCTGCTCTCAAAAAAAAACTGTCCGGATCCTTCTCCTTGGGTTGCGCATTTTTCTCACAAATGTCAAGTATTAAAATTTCAATTTTTTTTTTATCTACATACATATGTACATATATGTATATTATATATATAAGTATATGCATGGATGTCAGCCGGACTTATGGCTGTGGCTGTTTACATACATACATCTTATTCTCTCTCTCTCTCTCTCTCCGTACGGTATTAACCTTAATTTAGTCTGAGGGAAAAAATTTTTGGAATTATTTTCCACGAAATTATTGATTTAACAAAATGTCAGTTGCTAAGTGAGTGGCCAAAAAAATTTTTGCAATTCGCACTAGACATACAGACATGAAATGCTTTGTACATATTCTCTTTAGCTGTTGGTACGAGCCCCTCCTCGCCGCTGAGTCGTAGCTCACGACATTCGATTTTGCTAGAGTCGCTACTCCGGCAAGGGTTGGAGTGTCGGCGGTATTGGAAGACCCAATTGCAGCGCTCGACGTTGGTCTCTACTCTGCAACGGTCCGATCAAGGGTCTATGAGAGTACGTTTTACATGACGGACCATAGATCTATGTAAGTCAGCTCTTACTTAGCGTTTCTCAGTAGATGACGAGTGATGTTGGTACAACACAAAGGTTCCTTTAGAAGAAATTGATAGCTTTCTTAATGTAATCGATAGCAAGCCTGTGGCTTCTGACTCCATCTTTAAAGCAATAGTCCAGATAAGCGTCTTGATGTTTTTTTCATAAAAATGTGGGAATGTACATTTTTTCTCAGCCATCGCCAACGTATGTCGGTTGATTCTTCATAAAAAACACTCGGAGGAATTGACATCTACTACGTAGAAGCGCCCGCAATTCGAAAACCTTTAACCGTAATTTTCAATGTTGAACTGACCTTTTCTTTTCGGTCAGTCGTCTTTGTGGAAAATGAACGTAGGAACGTAAGCGGCTTCGATGTGCAGTTTTTGTTGTTGGTGTTACAAAGTCAGTCCGAGTCACTGTGGTCATCTAATAGCAGGTCTAGGAAACATGCTGTTTCGACGAGAGAGAGTGAGAATTGTTTGAGATGATTTGGTTTTAGAGGATATGTATAAAGAGGTTGTTAGTGTCGTCCGGGACTCACTGCATGCAAGTTATATGTACATTTGGTATGTTGTGGTCCGGGTCTGGATAAGCAGGAATTAACTGTGCCAATACCATTCCGACCTCTCATAGCACGAGCTGTTATTCTGCGCGAAAGTCGTTTCTACGTAACGAAGTAGACTCGTTTAGGTCAACAGGTAATCCCCCCCCCCCCCCCCCCCCCACTCTATGCTTAAATTGAACATCACGGTTTGCCTTGCGGTTCGTTCTCCGAGGTATGATAATTAGAAGTTTCCTAATTCTCAATTTCTCTTTCTCAACGGTTTTTCACACTCAATGTTCTCCCTCTCTCTTGGGAAGTAGAAGCCTCTGTTTTTATTGTATGACTAACAATGCGTGAGCCATCTAATTGTTAGAAGCTCTGTTGCGCTTGGTTAACAATCCAAAGCGCTCGAAAGCCGTTGTAATACATTTGTATATATATTTTTTTTTATATTCAGCTAATTTATACAGAGGCTGACATGTTTGTTGTTGTGCAATGAGCTTAGCCGTGGCGCGCTGCTAAAATTGTTGCTCTCTTGTGGGCGTAATTCTTTTTCCCAACAGATTTGAGATTTGAAAATTTTATACAAAATTTTCCGCTTTTCTGATTGTGTAACTTTCATAGAAACGGCTTTGTATTGCTGTTTCAGCTCCTAAAGCTGATTATTTATGCGCATGAAATATATTTATTTTTTTCTAATTCTCTTTTTCTAATTATTTTTTTTCTGATTTTTTCTCGATTTTTTTTCTTTTTTACTTTTTTAATTTTTTTTTCATTTTTTTCCTTAATTTTTCTATATGTCTTTATAATTTTTTCTAAGGCATTTGCTGCTCGTTAATCCGACGCATTTGCTGCTCGTTAATCCGACGCATTTGCTCATTATTTAATGCTTAAGCCTTTGTCTCTCTCATTGTCCCTGATGGACCTTGAAAACGAGCGCATAACACAGCGCTTTGGCTAATTAATTATGTAAAATGGAAATTATATGGTAACTTACATATATTAACGACTAACGGTTAAATTGCTAATCATATTTTTATATCGCATTCTCTCTTTTTCCTTCTCACTCTCTTTACAGTCTGCGTTATTCTGAGTACAAACGCAACGGCAATTAGCTGAGGGTGAAAAAGGAAAGCTTAGAGCTTAAGAGCTTCTATTCAGTGTTAGCTACAATAACAAAAACAATTGATAAACTGTTTCCAGTGGCGGCAGAATGGATCATTCACAACACAGTATACACAATCATGGTGAGTCTCTCTCTCTCTCTCTCACTTACTATATCTCTTTTGTATATAAAAGAACCATCTTTCTAAGAGAAAAACTTCCTCTGAAGACTTGGAGCTTTTCCTTCTTGAGCTTAAAGCTTGATTACCGTATTTTACTTTGTGTAACGGCTGTAGCGATTTTCGGTCGTGCTCCTCTTTTATTATCGGTAATATATTTCCAATAAAAGGCGAGATTTAACCTTTATTCTAAGCCGCTCCCTAACGCCAGATGATTTTTTTTTTTTGGGAGCTTTTGATTTCATATCAGAAATTTAATCAAAGTAATTAATGCGATGAAGCTCAATATTTCCGTCACCTCTGCTCGAAAACATTATAGTGAGTAGCTCTTCCTAAGCGACTCTAGGCACTACAGCCCGATTCAATCGTGAAAAGTTTTGTCAAATTGGTTGGTACCGTATAAAAATGCCTTGAAATTGTAAGAACAGGAAGCTAACCGACATTTGACCTTTATTTCCTGGAAATTTCGTGTATAGATCAGACATTCTGTCACCAAATTGTAGAGCTTCAATAGCAATGTCAGCAGGTGACTGTCGAAGTGCACAGTTGTAGGCAGCAACTTAGATACCATTCACTAAGAAATTCGAAAAAGTTCTGAATACCGCACGATGAGTAGCTGTAGACTTTCGACGTTAAGCCCAGACCCATCCGCGAAGTTTATTCTCGAAGGGAACTGAAATCAATAAAGTGGAGAGTTATCTCAGGGAAATCAGGCACCCCGCCATCAGTTTGTCTCGTCTCGATGACAAAGTCGATAGGAATTACTCCATTAAATCTTCTCTGAATTTCAGAGACAACTGATTAGCCTTGTTAGAGTTTGCGCTCAGTAATCACGATCTTTAGCAGCAGTTGCACGATTATATGGATTCCTTAAGCGCCTAACCGTTTCTGCCTTAACGCAAAAAATAGACCCCAAAATAACTTCCGGGGAGCTCAGGCTATCATTTGATAAATTTTTTCTTTTGATGCCAGTCCGTCTAGATTCTTAGATTGCAAATCAGACACTTAGCTAACTATAGTTCGGTCCAGGTTAACGTTAAAGAGGTGATTCGCATTTTTATGAACTTTTGCAGTAGCTGCAGTATAATACTGTCTCCATACAAACTCCAACTCTTTCCCTCTTAACTGAAAATCCAGACCTTAAATTAACCTTCGAAGTTTCCAGGCCACCATTTGATTAACTTTGTTCGGGTTTTTGTTTAATATACGCGCTTGTACTCTTCTCTGGACCTTCGAGACTTCTAATTTGTCAATCTATGATATTGATACCTAACGGTGGAGATTCTATACGACTTTATTCCTTTCTGGCTTAGTTCTAAAATCAGACTCTAAATTTTACTGCGGAGAGTCTGGAATCTCATGAGAAAAGCGTATTCGGTTGCCGCTCTCATAATTATCTCCATTGCTCAGTGCTTTTTGACAATTTTTTCACTCAGCATATTTTCTCAAATTTCAATTCTCATTGGACTTATAAAAAAATTATTATTTATTATTTATTAGTATTTTTAATGTTTCGAATTAAATTTTGTTTGTTTTTATTTTCAATATTATATTTTTTCCAATATTTAATTAATTGCACTTCAGCTATTTTTAGATATTTTTAGCTAGGCTTTGTTATATGAATTTTGAAAAATTTTTAATTAAATTTTTTTTAATTAATTTATTACATTTTTTATAATAATTAATTTATTATTTTTTCTTATACATATTTAATTTTTATTTACTGTTTATTTATTTATTTTTTTTATTTATTTTTTTTTTTTATTAATTTAATTTTTTTTATTAATTTATTTTTTTTTTATAAATTTATTTATTTTTTTATTAATTTTAATTTTGTTTTCTTTTTGGTATTTTTTTCTTTCATGTTCTTCGCCGCTGTTCTTTTTTTTTCAATATCACCAATATCCACCGTTCGACTAAAAAAAAGACCATCATATCATGTCTCTAGATACTGCAACAACACATGACCATGCAGCCACGATATTATCCACCACCACTCTCAGTCCACTGGATGTAATCGGCGGACATGGCGGTCATGGTGAGCATGCGACGATGAACGATCAACATGCGATGCACAACCATGATCATGGCGCGATGAATATGGAGGGCACAATGCATCATATGATGTCCATGGCGGTGAGTAATTACAGCGTGAGAGGCTAAAAAATGCTTAATTTCACTCTTTCACCACACTTACAGTTCCACTTCGGCTACAATGAGACGGTGCTCTTCTCGTGGTGGCGATTCGATAGTATTATGGGTCTAATCGGTTCTATGATAGCTATATTTGTAATGGCTGTACTTTATGAGGGACTGAAATACTATCGTGAGTTTCTGTTTTGGAAGACTTACAATTTGCTGGAATACCGACCGGTCACCGGGCCGCAACGCAATCCAGAAGATCCGCAACGTAGCACGGCGTCAACGAGCGCCTCGCCTGTGCAGTAAGTGATTTGTAGTGACTGAGTTGGTGCTGTACTATTGTTTTTGTTGTTGTGTTCATATTCTAATCGAGCATTTGTTTTGTCCGTTTTTGCTTCATTCTCTTCGTTTTCTCTTCTCTTTTTCTCTCTCATACATATGTACATTTTATTGAAAAATTGAAAAATTCTATAGATATGTGGGCGAAGTCATACACAAGCAACCGTGAGTATATAAAATTGTTTATAAATTCATTTTTCATGGCATGTTGCTGATTAGATACAACAACAACAAGTTATTATATCAATTATATTTTTTTTTTAGTTACATATTTATGTATGTATATATATATATGAATTTGAGTGTATTTTGTGTTTGATTAGCGACTTAAAATCGGCTTATGTCGAGCTTCTCCTGAAATTTATGCGGTGCGTCTTGATTTACGGTCAACAAACTTAGAAATCTAAAGTTTTTTAAGCGCCCTCTGAACGGCTGATGAACTAATCACAGCAATACACTCGGAGGGGTTGGATTTCCTTACAACGCGCGCCCACATTTCGAACCGATTACCTATGTGGGGATTCAGTTAATATCGCCACTCGCGGACCTCAGGGTGTACAACAAGAATATCGCAATACGAGTACCTAGTGTTAGAGAGCCTTTGGCCGTTCGCAAGTGGCGTTCAGTACGGATCCACAAGTCCCAAGTCTTTTACATTTGAACCTCAGTGAAAACTCTCTTTATCCTTTGTTATATTATATAATGGCTTATTCTCCACCATAATACTTTCACCCCCTCCACGTTAAGGTTGAGGGTAGCAAAGCCATTTGAAGAAGAAGAAGAGGATTTCCAGACCATTGCAGAGATTTCCACGAGGAGATTGCTACTAATAAATCTACAGTGGACACATTGCTCCGGCGGCTGGTTTTTGTGAGACAGGCTTCAGACAACCAAACGGCTGTTTGGATTCTAGTTGCACAAGTGGGGAGCTTCAAAATTTTAAATGAATGCTTATTCTTACTATCTCTGCCGTTGAATAAATATCGTATGGATACCGGGTCACAGCGGCATTGTTGGGAACTGAAACGCTAATGTGTTCTGCATATAAGTATCACCTCGCCGTTAATGCCAAAAAAAGCGCCAATTGGTGCCCCTCTGTTAAGAGAAATAAGATCTGCACTGCTGCGGAAATTGGTTGTTTTTAAGCTCCAGAAGTGTCAATCGCCTCAAAATGTTTCAGTAGACGAAATAAGGTTAAGATAAGAGCCCCTAGAACTAGAGCGAGCTATTCTCACTTTGTCATTTGGTTATTTTGAAGCTCTAGACGTTCCATTCGTTGCGTTAAGTTGCAGTGACCGAACTAAAGACAAATTAAGCGCCTCCAATAGGGGTGGCACTGGGTGATCCTTGAGATGATTGGTGACTTTGAAGCTCCTAACGTGTGATGTACCAACACTCATAAGCCCTTGCCATGGTATTTTGTCATATTGAAGCGCCAAACTTCCCATTTGTCTCATTAGATTGTGCTAGATGAATTATGGCCAAGATGTGAACTCCGAGCAACAACATCACAGACCCACGCTGTGGTATTTAGTTACTTTGCAGTCCCCAGACGTCCCTTTCGGCTCACTAACTTGCAGTGGCGGACCAAATACCAAGAATAGTGTCCCCAAATACCAGTAGTTGTAGATCCGCCTTAAGTCTTTGGTTATTTTGAAGCTCCAGACGTCAAACGTTGGTGTGCATTTTCACTAAATAAAATCGATATTAATTTTTTTGGCTTAAAATTTTAAAAAATTCAAATGCACAATGTCAAGGCCATTCCACTATTCATCATAAAAAAATAAAAATATTTCGCATATACATACATACATACGTGTATCTAGGCTAGTGCATGCTGTTGCCAGCGCAACGATTAAACCTTTTTTAACGCATCAAAAAATTCGCTTCCTGTTGCCATTTTTATACATATTTTAAGTAATTTACATTGAATGCCATCACTAACTCTCCTCCTCACTCTTACTCTCTCTCCCTCTCTCTCTCTATCTTAGCCCGACAATGCTATCGCTAAACCATCTGTATCAAACCGGTCTCCATATTCTACAAGTGACGCTCTCCTTCATGTTGATGCTGATCTTTATGACCTACAATGTCTGGCTCTGCATTGCTGTGGTCCTCGGCGCTGCTGTGGGGTACTTCCTCTTCTGTTGGCGGAAGTCGGTGATTGTCGATGTAACGGAACACTGTCACTAGCAATGTTTAAAATGTGAAAGGCGCTTCGCATGGATGCGCAGCCTTTGGCCAAGGCAAATTGGCAATTCAAATAATCAACAACAACAACAGCAACAACAAGAACAACTACAAATTACTAGAGGCGCAATAACAACATCAGCAGCATGCAGAGCAAGTAGCCGTTGGGGTTTAGGCGGTGGCGGAGGCGGAGGTGGAGGCGGAGGCAGAGGTAGTAGTGGAGCCGGTCGCCGTAGTGATGGCGGTGGTGCTGGTGATGTTGGTGCTTATAACGGCGGCTCTAACCGCACAAATATTATTGGTCGTAACGGCAGCACCCCATGCAATGTCACAGCCAACACGCTTATGAGCACAGCCGGCGGGAGTGTACGTTGTGCGCGCTACTTAAAACGACCCAACAACACCACTGGTGATAAGATGCAGCGAGGCGAAGAAGTCGGCGGCGGCGATGGCGATGGCGGCATGCAAGTGACCATGGCGGCCAATAAATACAACAACCAAAAGAACTTAGATATTTACTATTATGAACGTGATGAGTACGAGGATGAGACAGTCATCATTGATACGATTGCCGTGACGGCGACCACCACAGCGCAGCTAATGGAGAGCGGTTGTGGCAGCATCGGTGCTAATTGTCAGAAATGTCGAAATATTAAAATTCTCTTAAGATTAAGTTTAAGATATTTTTATGATATAAACTGTGAAATTGTAAAGAACACCATTTAAATATATATACATACATGACAACAACAACAACAACAACAACAAATCACGAACAACATATTCATACAAAAAATTAACTGAAAGACAGACATGTGAAAAACAACAACAATACGACCAAAATGTTAGCTACTTTGTAGCGTTTACGCGGCAGCGGGCGAAGTTGAGGGCAAATCCAAAAAAAAAAACACAAAAAACATGTAGATATGTATGTAAATAGGCAAATGTACGACACAACGAGGTATGAGTGGTTCGTAGATATCGCGGAATTTAAGTAAGCAAAAAGAATTGAAAAAATATTTTTACAAGATACTATGTATAGTTGTTTGTACCGTTGTTTAGGTGTAAATATTACAAAAAAAATTGCAAGTTGCATGTTTATGAAAAGGGAAAACTACAGTTTTTGAATATGGAAATTCGCTTTTAGGCTACAAATATGATCTATGACCAACAAAAACGAACGATTTTTTTTAGTTTTGAGTCTTACAAATGCACAGAGAAACAAACATACATTCAAACAAGCCAAACAAGCATATGTATGTACATACAATGCCTGATGAAATTTGGAAAGCTGCTCACTACTGATGATAATATAGAATTTTCAAAATATTTTAATATTTCGGCTTTTTTCTTAAAAAAAAAAAATTAAACAACATATTTTAACCATTGCTTTAAGTGAGAAACTCCAAATACATAACTTTTAACGAATAATATTATATTTTGTTTTAACAGACAACAGAGAAGTAGAAAAAAATCAAATAAAAATATTTTTATTTAGCAAAAAAGAATTAAAAATTAAATTTTGAGGTAAAATATGCAAATAATGCTTTCTGCTATTATTTCGTTTTAAATACGAGTCAGCGAAAAAAAATTGGTAAGGATTTTCTTTTGTTAAATTTTTTATAATAAAAAATTTCAAATGATTGAAAAAGTGCAAAAAGCGTAAAATAAAATTATGATTTAAATAATTGTAAATGAATTTTTAAAGTAAAAATATGTAAATATTTTTTTTTGCAAAATTTTGCTCACAAAAATTAAAATTTCGAATTTTTATTAAATAAAAATATTTCTTCTTAACCGCAAAAAAGTTGTACATAAATGATATATTAAAGAAAAAAAAGTAAACGAAAATTTCCATGCTAATTTTGGTTACAAAAAATTCTACAGAAAACCGAAAATTAAAAAGAAAAATATTTTTTTGAGCAAAAAAAATGTAAATGAAATCTTTTTGCTATTTTTTTTTGTCGTATTAATGGAAAATTGGAAAAAGCTGAAAAAAAATGTGAAGTAAAAGTATTGCAAATAAATTTTTACAGCAAAAAAATGCAAACACATTTTTTTGTTTGCTTGTTTTTTGTTAAAAAAATTTTCCGAAAAAAAATCAAATACAAATTTTTTTCGGAAGCAAAAAAATTAATTTTTTCAAAAAAAAAAAAAAAAAAAAGAGTAAAAATTTGTGCTTGTTTTTTAACTCTGCCAAATATTCTTCCATAAAATTTTTTAAATTAATTCTAAAACGATATTTTTACTCCAAAATTTTTTCATTGTAAATATTTGCAATTTTTTCGATGTGAAAAAAAGTTTGAATTATGAAAAAAAATTAAAAAAAAGCCGAATTATGAAAAGTACTGCTAATAATTTTTATTCTTCAAATGGTAAAAAAATATTCCAAAAATTTTCAGTTAAAGCTTTTCTACATTTCATCAACATGTATGTACATATATATGTAATTACATATATAATTTTACATTAATACATATATATTTTTGCTTACATGTTTACTTGTTTTTTTTAGTAAAGCCTACTCAGCGAAACGATGTTGTTGCCTATTTTAAGGCGTTTTATGCCGCTATAATTTATGAATTTTTCACAAACATGCATACATTTGTATGTATATACATATGTATTGTATAACTTGTAGCTTTAGGCTTTTTTATTTCATTGTATGCACTTGCTGATTTTTTATGCTAATTATTACATACATACATAAAAAATTTTATTAAATTATAGGAACTACAATTATGAAAAAAATATATGTATATATCTTTTGTTACAATTTTTAATTTTTTTTTTTTATAAAATTTTACTCTTATGTTTTAGGTCACAAAGTATTCAAAGCAAAATTAATTATAAAAAAAAAAAAAAAAAAAAAAAAACAAGAAAAATGTATAAACAGCAGCAATGGATTTCAATAAGAGAGATACCATCATATTTGTTAATATGAATAATATTAANAACAAAAAAAAAAAACAAGAAAGAATTGTAAACAGCAGCAATGGATTTAAATAAAAAACTATGACTAAAACTGCAAACACATAAAATATAAAATGCAAACAAATATAGAAAAAGCGCAGACTCTCTTTGGTATTTTGCAAATGGAAGTACATACATACATACATACATACATACTCGTACATGAGAAATAGTAATTAAAAATTGTTACAGTTTGTGAATGCTGCTGAATTGTTAACTGTATACTCCATTGTTAAGTTTTTACACACAATACATACATACATACTAACATACATACATGAAAAAAAATATATTTAAATGAAATTTCCAACATTATTATATATAATATAATGTACATACATTAATATATTGATATTATTTTTACTAAATCGTACGTACATATGTATGTGAATCCTATGCTGCTGTAAATCTATATACATATATATACAATACATACAAACAACAAATAAATGTACATGCATAACCGCATTAATTCATATGAGTAGATTTTTCAAAACTTACTGTGTATATTTCAAATAAAGACAAAATTATATCCTTCCTTTAAGACTCTCTTTTATCATTCGATTTACTTTTTTTTTTTTTTTTTTGTTATAAGTATAACTGCATTTGGTGGCCCTCCTCGGCTTTCACCAACAGGTACAGCACGGCGAACTTTCAAATCCAGAGTGAGTTTGCCCATCCGAAGGACATTAGCTGCACCGTTGGATCTCAGGTATAGCTCATCGTCTACTTCGGTACAACCTTTCTCTTGTGAACTTCTAAAGCCGACTCATCGGTTGTTTTCATCGCCCGAGCTTCTGCACCGTATTAGCAATTCTGCGTTGAATTTCAAGGTTTATGGTAGATCTACTAAATACAAGTGACCCAGACTGTCAATTTCACCAAGGGACTTAGTGCTTCACAGCTGCCTCAAACTTGTGTAGGACGACCGCAGAAAAATTAACTTACTTTTTTTGTTTAAATTAATTTTCTACAACTTTTTGGATGCTAGTAAGAAACCAGTATTTGAGCCCTAGCCTGCCCAATGGCTGTACCCAATGCTATACGCACTGCAAATATAGTCTCTGCATTTTTATAAGCTTACGCCTAAGATTATGCAAGGAATTTCAGATAGGAATGTAGTTTCTGGCATAATAAAATGGAGATATGTTTCAACTTGAAGGATACGGATACCCAATTTACATTCTTTCATACTGGAAATATTATTCAAAGCATGGTTTTGAGCTTATAAGTGTTGAAAAATAGCAAATTTAAGAAAATACTTCTCAAAAAAAATCAGTTAAGCTCTTTCGCCATCTAATCAGCGGATCTTTTGTTGCTTTTCCATCTCAGATTAAATTAATTTATGACTTACTGATTACAGTATTCATTTTAGATGAACAAATAAAAACAGTTTCTTGCCTTCCAGACAGTTTTATCTGTTTTTTTTTCAAGTTATTCGCCTAATTCCGCAGTCATATCACGCAATAAAACTTTTTGTAGAACTCCTCTCAATCATTTATACATACATATTTATTATTTGTTGCAATAACAATTAACAGCTAAAACATGTAAAATTTTTTTAGATTTGTGTGTTTATACATATGTATATTTGACATACTAAATAGTGAGGCATGTGTTATCAATTAGAACAAAAATGCACAATGCATACCTCACATCATAAGTGCAATGAAATATGTGCAAAAATATGCATACATAATTGTGTTTGTATGTGTGTTGTTCTATAGCATTTTACATGCATACATATTGAAATTTTTTATTGCCTTCACACCCGCACCTAACACATCTCAAGCCAACTCTTTGCAAATATATTTAAATTTTTAGAATTTTCAATAATATATTATATAATTTTGTTATTTTGCTAAGAGGTTCTCGTATTGATTACTTGACATACAGACATACACAGCCATGTACAGAAGTGGAACAAATAGTATATTTTTACAATTATATATACAAATGTATATGCATTAATTAATTAATTTTGGCTGGGTTAATATGTTGGTACAAGGCATGTACACAATATATTTAAAAAAATATATATATATATCAAAATATAGCGCCTTCCACTAATGCTTTGTAGCATCAGCCAGTGTGGCGTCCGCATCATCTGCATCCAATGCCGCATCACGTTCGGCCAATTGTCTTAGCAATTCAAAACCACTTTTCCACTTAATTACATCCGCTCGCAAATCCATTTTTTCACGTTGACTCGTTATCTTTTTTTCCAATGCAAAATTTTGTCGCGGACATGCTATGTCACCCTGTCGCAATTTTAGCACTGGACACAAGTCGTTATGACCATCACCAACATAAATAATGCGTTCATAGTGTGTATTATCGCGCAGATTACGTTTGGCGACAAAATGTTCCAATATCTTGCCTTTACATAAATTGGCTGCACTCAGCTTACAATCGGTCTGATGATGGTAGGGACGTACATGCAGCAAACCATCGTCATCAAAGTGCGCCGGGTTTGTGAATATACTCTCAAAGCAATTGGCCAAACCATGCGCATCCAACCACTCTTGTATAAAGATCGTGTTTGAGTCACTAATTATGATTAAATCGTATTTGTTTTCTGTCGCCTGATGTAGACGTTTCAGTAAACGCACAAAGCCAGGAACTTCCGGTATACAACGTATTTTGTCGCGTATCGTTTGTGGTGAGCAGCACTGCTGATGCACACGTCGGAAAACTTCAGCCATGTACTCTTGCCAACCCTCATTGTGTATAATGGTTTCGCTGGGTAAGTGATCAGCCGGCAGAAGATCACGCACCACCGTATCCGTGTTGTCATCCACAACAGTGCAATCGAAGTCGAAAGCGACCAAGCGGCGTGACACTCGCGGTGGTATCTTACAATTTGCCATTATAGTAACGCTTGTATTCCTTAACAATAATAAACGTTGGCGAAACGCAAAAGCTGAATGGAGAATGCGAAGGCCAAAACAACGAGCAGCTGATGCTTCTAACCGTTACGACTGCTTAGAAGTGTATGGAATAAGTGGGTGGGAAATTTCTATATTTATTTAGAGGTCACTAATTTAACCTTTACTTTGGATTAAGGTAACAAATTTAATTGCATTATATTAACTAAAACGATTTTTTTTTAACTTTTTTCTATGTCGACAAACAATTTGAAGGAAATAAAATGATAGAAAAATATATGTTTACGGTTAATTTACACAGAACAAAAAAATCCCACGTTGCAGCATTGCATTTTTGCGGAAGGTTTGCAATTTTTGAGCAAATAATTTAATAAGCTTTTTTTTCAAAGAAAATAAACTCAGCTTAACACTTATACTCGAGTTAAAGATTTTTTATCTTATAAACGGTTTAAATTTTCAATGAAATATTGGTTTTAGTTGACACTGTAACCCTGTTGGTTCATTTGTTTTGGGAAATTTATGAATCTGCTTCTTGCAGCGCCCGCACCATACTTTTTCAAAAAAACAAATAGCAGCTGTTTATAAGCTTTAAGAGCAATGTAAATAAAACAAATTGGCGCCAAACAACAACATCAACTACAATCTTTGCATGTACATGCGCCGATGGCATACCAGAACCATATGTTGTTGACATTTATTTTCCTCTATAGTAATAAAGTGTACATAAAAGTTTTACTCCTGTGTTTCAGCAGTTCTGAAATAAACTAGAATTTAGTGTAAAACCGTTTGCGCTCGATAGTAAACGTTTTCCGTAATTGACGGCTATTGATTTCTTCCAAATATACAAAATATATGTGAAATAAATTTTTCTTCCAACCAAAAGTAAGTAAACAACATGCAAGTGGAGTGCAACTCAACGCAAGCAGCAACGAATGAGTCGCCTGCTGGTGCCAGCACAAGCGCAACAGTTGGGACATCAGGTGCATCAGCAAAATGTATAACAACTACTAACGTAAACAAAAGTAGTAAACAGCAACGTGGTGCTCTGAAAGATGTTGGTATCTTAAAGCGTGAGGATTTCGATGGCGGGCCCGTGAGCTTGGATGAAATCGTTTGTGGGCTGTATTTGGGTAAGTTTTGAACAAATATTTTGGTATTATAAAATTATTGATTAATTTTTGTTTCGGTAGGTAATCTAACCGCTGCTACACATATGATGACATTGAAGATTTATAGAATTACGCATATACTTACATTGGATTCAGTGCCATTACCACAACATATAACAGAGGCGAGCTTCCTAACAACCAAATATGTTCAAAGTAAGTTTATTTAAAATCGATCATATTAAAAGCACTTATACTAGAAACTGAGAGAACTGGAGTAGAAAACTTATTTGAGTTCACTCAGCGGAACACGCGTGTTATTATTTAGCTGCAAAATATTTTTAAAATCTCCTACATTCGGTATATGTATAGGAATTTTGCTTTGTAAAACAATTTAAGTATTAACTTCTATCTGTAGTCAATAATGCGGCAAACGTACAACATGCTCGCCCACATTCCATATAATTTACCTACCTTCAATAAAGACAGACCAAGTAGTTCGATTCCAAACCCCTCAACTGCTCTTGGCACTTCCCAAACTATAACTAATACTGTTACAAAATCCAGCAGTCCGTAACTAACGTCGATTGTGCTTTTGAACCATTCGATTTTGCTGGTCTGCTACATTTAATTAAAATGTATCCATAATACTATTTAAAGGTCCCACTGGCTATACTAACCCACAAATCGTACTTTTTATATAGGACCTTGAGGATAATATAAACTGGCTAAGCTTCTCTAATCAAAGGACGTGTATGCTCTATCAAAGTAAATGACAGCACATATTATATATTTAGTTACATAGTCAAATGCACGGACCTACGCATAGACATTAGTGCGGCATCAGAATAGCTGAAAGCTCGTCATAGTCATATTGACACGCACATATGTATGTTCAAAGTAACACAGCCTCGTGATGTGCAATGAAGTACCACACTACCACCTAGTTACTGGTCTTATCAGCACGTAAAATCCAGCCTCCCTCACCCATTAGCTTCCTGGAAGCGTTACACTTGTTGGTGTGTGTACATTTATATTCAACTATTTTGCTTTTGCCAGCGTAGGTTTTATAAAAATTAAATATATTCTATTTTCACACACACGCTCCCGACTTAAAGCCACCCATATCATACCATTTGACAGTTATAAACTTTGTAAACGGCAAGTGAATGGCAGGGTAGACAAAACACCATAACAAAGTAATCGTTACGTTGAAGGCTTATTTGTGCTCTGCGGACTACACATGTACAGACGAAAATAGAAGAATATATGAACATATACAGACGAATGTGGTGAAACCACCTAAATGATTTGTTTGGTTGGCTGCTTGAGTGACATAGAGGATAGTTTTTGTTTACACTATGGCGTTGCTTTGTGGGTGACACGGCGAGTCTGACTTTGTTTATTGTTCTATGGCGATTATTTGTATACAGAGGAATGTGACAGATTCTAAAGCTTTTACTGGCAGTGCGTTTAGTGTTCAACGCTTCAGCTTGTACAGTAGGGTAAGTGGCAAGTGTGACGATTCATTTTACAGTAGAAGCGGTACAGGAAGGCGAGAGCCTCCAAATTCATGATCGCCGACGGAATAATCATACCGACAATAAAAAAAAACCTATTCAACACCACCTCTTACGCTGGTCCAGCTTATTTAACACCACCTCTCTGCTGGAACTTCCGTTAGACGTCTTCGTCGACATAGATAAGCTTTACCTGCTTCTAGGCGATGTTGAGCAAGCCCCTGCGGGTTAGGGGCTCAAGAATTTACCCGCGGTGAGGCATGCCTGTCGTAAGAGGCGACTAAAATCCAATAGTTCCCGTGACAGTCGAGTCTTTATACTGGAACGACTGGATTTTTATCCGGCCAAGGACCGTCACTCCCGGAATATTCCCCAAAAAGTACTTTGTGGAATATTTATGCGGTTACAACAACAACAAGTCAATATAGCGACAACAAGAATAAGCTGGCTACATACCGGCACTAAACGTCGCTTCTTCCGCTTCTGAAAGTTTGTGAAATTTTTTCTTTTTAATTCTTTTATTCTAAGATTTTTACATATGCAAAGGAAACGCATCTTTCTGGCGCCAGAAACCTATAAATTGCAAATTTGAATTTTATACGAGGAAATTTTTTATTATCACTCACTTCTCTCTTATCCTTTCTTCACCTCACTTCTAATTTGAATTTTTCTTTTCCTTATTTAGTTTCCGACATGAAAAAGGAGGATATCCTACACCATTTAGATAGCTGCACGGAATTCATAGAAAGTGCGCTGGCACAAGAAGGCAATGTCCTGGTGCATTGGTAAGTACAAAAACTGTGGATTATACAAAGAATACACAGTTACGTATAAATAAATATAAAAAATCACCTTTTTGCTGCCCTTCCAGCTACTACGGTGTCAGTCGCAGTTCTGCTGCCGTAATAGCTTTCATTATGAAAAGTCGGCATTTAGATTATCAAGCTGCCTTTGAAATGGTGCGCAAAAGGCGTCGTTTCGTACAACCCAACATCGGTTTCGTATACCAATTGAAGCTCTACGGTTCGATGGGTTGCAAAATCGATACACAATATCAGCCATACAAAATTTATCGCTTACGCTTGGCGGGCGATCAAGTGCTCAAAGGTATTTAGATTTTAAATAAGTGTGTTGAATTAATTAATCATAATTTATATACTTTTTAACTACACTTACAGCCAAAATATTACCTCAATCCTTTAATTCACTAATCCAAGCGGATCCGGCTGTGACGCAGGAGAATCCTGAACCCATTGTTTATCGCTGTCGCAAATGCCGACGTGTTTTGGCCTCGAAAGCACATATATTGCAGCACGACAACAGATCGCTCATCACACAGACGCCACCAAAAGCAAGCGGCAGTAATATTGCTAGCAATAATGGTACTACCGCGCCGCAGGCGTCGCGGCTGCTCGAAAAGATTGCCGTAGAGATACTAAAAACTTACACACCCACCGACACAGAATCACAATCGTTGGTTTGCCGCAATATAATATTTGTAGAGCCCATCGCCTGGATGCGCAACATTACGCACAACACGCAGGGACGCTTGAATTGTCCGAAATGCGAACAGAAGGTGGGCAATTTCAGTTGGATCAACGGCTGTCAGTGCCCATGTGGCGAAGTAGTGACGCCGGCCTTCTACCTGATACCGTCACGTGTGGAACTCTCGAAAGCTGTGCAAAATGTGCAGACGACGCTTTAGATGGTTTAGCCGGAGGAGAGTGAAGATTAGGAGGAGTTGTTTATGAGCATGCTAAGCGTTTAGAAACAAAAGTTTTATAAACTCTGAAGGGAAATAAACTCTTAGTAGTAAATGTATGTGGGAACTATTACAAATAAATTCACGATTTTTATGAATCTTATTGTAAAAATCAAAGAAAAAAGCTTCCATTGCCTTTTGCAAAATGAAATTGAAATCAAAAGCAAAAAAACAGCATCAAATATGTAGTTTAGTTGAAATATAAAAATTAATAAAAAAAAATTAAAATAAATTCTTATAGATAAAGAACTATGAAATGATATAAATGTAAAATTTAGCAACTTTAAATAAAATTAACAGTTATTTCAAACAAATTTTCGGGTTTTAGTGGCAATGAAGCGCATAAAATTTTGAGCTCCATAAAAAAATATCTGTTTTAAATATCAAAACTTAGCGAAAGTTATTCAAATTCCATTGAAAATTAACAAAAATAACATATATGTGTGTGTTTGTAAAAAAAAAATTTGCTTATATTGGATTCCAATTTATATACATACTACATAACTATTGTAAAAGCTTTGACAATACACAAAAAAACGTTTGCGAATTAAAAAAAAAGTGAAAGAACTTTTTCGAATATTTAAAAAATCGTTTTTGAATATAAAAATTTAACCAAAGAAAAATCGTATTTGAATATAAAAATATTGAAAAAAAAATTCGTTTTTTGAATATAAAAAATAAATAGATTAATGTAAGATAATAGATGTTAAAATGTGGATTTTCCGAAATTTAACTTTTTCAATGTTAATAAAAAGTGACAACAAATACAACTTCTCTATTCATTTTATTATGTTACATACATATATACATACATACTTTCTATTGGAACACGCAGTCCACCTCCGTAAGGCTGGAGGAGCTAAGAGCACCATGAAAGATGTGACGTCTCAATCGTTTGAGGCCGGACACACGCAAAAGTAGCAGCTCATGTAGTCCAGTCTTACGCAGAGCTACCACTATGAGGAAAGCTGCAGACCGCTGAGTTCTATCTAATGTGCTTCGTCGCTACCAAAGAATGCCGCCATAGAATGGTATAGCTCTGCCAGTGCAAAATATGCGATTTTAGACTTCAACTCAGACTCCAAGGAACAATAACTCTTCGTTAAAGTATAGTTCAGTTAGAGCCTTTCTTTAACTTTCTATCATGTTTCGGCCACAGTTTAGTTTGCTATCTAACATTATACCGTGATATTTGACTTCCCAGCGTTATTGAATATGTTTCTTTGGTGATACTCTAATGTCAATAGCATTATGGGCTCTTCAAAACGCAATTCTTGAAGAGTTTCTATTGTAGTTTCGGAGAAAATGTTATCAAAAGAACTTTCTAAGTCGAGCAAAATCAAAAAAATCTAAAATATCAGTAGCGGCCAGACGATTAAACAAAACGTTGCCTACATTTCGGTGCTGGCTTAATGCAGTACCAGAAAATCCAAAACGCACTACTTTTTAACCGTTTTCTGTGCATCCCAAATGTTAATGAAAAAACACATTTATCAGCATTTTTCTTCATTTTGTCTTCTTTTTTTTATTTTGCGAAACCGCATAATTTATTAAAAAGTTGCCGTAGCCATTCATATGCAATAAATTACTAAGCTACTTTATTTATATTATTTTGAATACCTACAAAACGAACTAACTTATGCTGTTTATGAGCATTATTTGCTGTTGTTTTTAGTTTTATATATTTTTTTTTTTTTAGGTTTATATGCAAGTAAAAAGTCAATATGACGTAAAACTAATTTTTAAAACGCCTCCAAAGCGCCTGGTGTTTTATATTTTACACATATGTATATACATATTTATATTTTAGCTTTTTAACTTTTCTTGTTGCATACACAAATATACTCGTATGTATTTATGTGTTTTCAATGTTTTTTTTTGCATTGACTTTTGATGACAAATTTAGTTTGAATTAAAAAAATTAATTAGTATTACTTATTTCATCCAAAAAATTAATTTTAATTGTTTCTCACTAAATATTAATTTCTTTTGTTTTTGATTAAAAAATTATTTCATTTTTTTTAATAAAAAAAATATTTTATTTATTTTTTAATAAAAAAAAAAATATTTTATTTATTTTTTAATAAAAATTTTAATTAAATTTTTTTTAATAAGAATTTTAATTATAGCTTTTTTTAATAGAAACAACTTAATTGGGTACTTAATTCATAAGTTCCTTGTAAAACGTAAAAGCCAAGTTCAATTTGTAAGAACAAGTTACCAGTTATCGACTGCGTATATTTAAAAGGCAACAACTCAAAGTGGAGTTCAAGATTTTCTTTAAATTCACTATAAATATTTTTTTTTATATATATGATTAAACAAATTGAAATTTTTGCTTCATGTCAAAAAGTTAAAAAGTTACATTATCAGGTGAATAATATACATATATATTATATGTATATATAGAAATATATATGTATATATATTTATACATATAGTTCGATTGGCGCCAAATAGTCATTTGCCAATTTTTGAATAATAAAATAATATTTAATTTTTTTTTTTTTTTTTTTATGAAAAAATTTCAAGCATAAACTAAATACATATTTAAAAAGAAATCACCTCGATTTTTCTTGGCTTTCAGAGGGGCCTAACAACGAGTGTTGTTGTTGCAGCGATTTATACCAGCCTGTCGCCCGTGATAAGCCATTGTTGACACTGCGGCTGTTGTTGTTTTTGTTCTTTATTAAAAAGTATTTTGCATTTACCTTGAGCCGTGATGATCCCGAGTACACCGTTGAGCTTCCGGTAGAAAATTTTGCTAGTCACTGCTTGGACTCCCTCGCTCGTGTTTTTTTGGGGGGTTTCAGCTGTTTTTTTTTTTTTTTTTTTTTTTTTTTTTTTTTTTTTTTTTGAAAGAAATGTTGGTTTTTTGGAAGGTGTCTGTTACCTGCAATGAGTTGAACGTTGTCTGGGCTCACTGGCTGGCTGGTGACGACAACAGCGGAAGCCAAATTGATGATTATTTACATAGTTAGAGGAGGACGCTTTGACGATGTCCAATTGCAGTGTGTGTATTGTGGTGGCGTTGATGGCGTGCGACGGTGATTTCTGTAAAATTGCACAAAATTGTGAAAGCTTGGCGAAGACTTTAGTGCAAAAGAAGTTTAACTAAACAAAATACCATCACACAATTCCTTATATATAATTTTATTATTATTATTATTATTATTATGAAGCCTTCCACTTGTGGTATTATTCGGGGTGTAGAAAGGGTGAAATCTTTTTTTTTTTAATTTCCGAACGTAAAAATGAGGAGGGAAAGCGCTGTGGTAGCTTTGGTCATGAAAGTTTCTTAAGAAAATTTTTTTTTATGCAATATATATACATATGAGTTAGAGGAAGTTTTTTGAAATTTGATTTTTTTATTTCTTTTTAACTTTTTTTTAAACGAACACTTACATTTTGCATACTAAAATATAAAATTCAATTTTTCTGTTTCAAATAAATTCCACAGTAGATTTTGCAAACTTTTTTCAGATTTAAATGAAGTCGCTTATTTAGCCGAGAGCGTTCTTTTGCATTTTTTATTTATAAATACAGACAATTATTTTCTTCTTTTCTTTTTTAAGATCTAATAATTGCTTTAATTTCTAAGTAAGCGACTTGGCCGAGCAATTTTTTTATATAAATATTGCCAGAATGGCTTTTTTGGGACCAAATGTTTGTTTACGTTCTTTATAAATTTAAACAAGTCGCTTATTTAGCTGAGAGCGTTCTTTCGAATATAAAAAAAAAAGATTGACAAAAAAATCTTTAATTATTGTTTTAGTTAATAAAATAAATAAATCATTTAGCTTATTTAACGGAGCGGGTGTTTTTTTTTACAATTTTGTTAAAAAAATATTGCCAATTTTTCCAGAGCGAATAATTGTTATTCATTTAATTTTTTTTTTTTTGTAAGTCGTTTATTTAGCCGAGCATGTGTTCCTTTGCAGTAATTGCGATGAATATGTTAGAAATCGTTTTTCTGATCGCTGTGCGAATTTTCGCTTTAAAAGTTGTAGCGACTTGTGAAATCGAATCGAATCGAAATCGAATTTGTTAAAAAACTTTCATGACAAATGTATTGAAATGGATTTTATTTTTGTGCCGCGTAAAATTTAACAATTACTTTGTAAGCATCATACATCTAATAATAATTCTCTTTATTTTTTTTTTGCATTTACAAATAAATTATTATCTTATGGTATGAAAAAAGAACTATATGTTATAACTTAATGACTACATATTTAAAAAATTATACGAAGAAGAAAAATATAAGTTAACCGTAGTTATTACATAAATAATTTTGTTACCTTTGTAAAGCGGGTATGAAAAAACTGAGTTTTCCACTATAAATCACACATCAACTTCAATCCCTTCACTTCCACCATTTAACTCTCTCTCTCTTTTTCTTACAACTTCCCAACACACAAAATCTCTCTTTTTATTTTTTGTCCTACTAAATAAGAATTAAGACGCAAATTTGCAAAATTGATTTTTTTTTTTTGTATTAACAATTACCTCGAATATGGGTGTGAATGTGTGCGCAGCAGTTTACTGAGCGTGGTAACGGATTTTGGCGTACGTTTGTTCATTTTGTCTAAATGGTATGAGTGCGTGCGTGCGTACGCGTTTCACTTAAAATCTACAAAAACAATATGGTATTGGCGTATGGTAAACTTCAGCTGTTGACTTCCAGAATATAAAGTACCGAAAAATACGAGTATTAATTTCATTTTTTTTTTGTAATAAAAAACTTCTTTCCGCTACTTGTGTTTTTTTGTTTTTTTGGCTTTTAACTTTATATCAGAAAAATGCAGAGAAAAAATAGTTAAAAAGTACCTTGTTTGAGGGGAACGGACTGGTCATTTAGTCCCAACTGGGTACAGGAGGATATGCGTGTCACACGTTCGCTTAGAGTTATGTCTATTTGAGTCACATTTACTGTTTAGTGAATTCACGCTATGAAAATTTGAAACAAAAACTCAAAAATTAAAAACAACAACCTTGCAATTAGGTAAGGAATAAGCTTCATTTCTTATTAAAGATTTTTTTTCTTGCAATTAATGTACCTCAAAATAATGCTGACACTGAGTAGCAGATTTTCAATCCTAGCAAGCCAGCAGAAGTGTTGTATCAAGTGAATCTCAGAGCAAGCAGTTGAATTAAAACACTGCAACAACTGCCGTTTAGCCTGGCAATTAAAAAATATTACATTAAAATTTATCTTATTGAAAAGTAAAAATACTTAGCAAAACTAAAAAGACTATATCTGCTCTTTCACGAAGATTCTCCATAAATTTTCTATACAGTTCAAAAAATCGGCTTAAGACTCTAAAATAGAGACAGCATAGCATAAGCTTTCGTCTTCTTATGCGTGAGCATGCGCCAGCTAATAAGTTTTTTTGGCTAAAAATTTCTGTCGCCTAACACTACATACCCTAAGGAGGTGTTTGAGAAAATTTCCAACCCAGCCTAGACGAAACAGCAACCTAAATATACCATCAAAAATAATATTTTCTCAAGATTGCGAGATATAATCTCTCGTTTTTGCTTATGAAAACCGGCTTTTTACGCTTTTGCCTTTGAAAATGTCATTTTGATAATTCAAAAATATACGTATGACAGTATATGCACATAAATACATACATATATATAAAATGTGTACTAAAATAGTTATGCATGTTAAAATCATATTTTTCACTCACCTTATTTTACGATTTGAGTATATTCATTTTAGGTTTTTAGGCTAGATTTTTTTAAGATTTTATTAAGTTTTGTTTGTTTGGAGAGAGAGAGTACCTCGATCCGCCGCGTATTACATATGTAAGTACGCACGTAATTAATAGCGACTGCGACTGCGGCTACGGCTATGGCTATGGCGATCCCTGCTGTTGCGTCGATGGCTGCTGCGCGAATGGGAGCGTCTACGGTGCGATGACTTGTGGTGATCTGTATCAAAAAAAAAAAAAAAAAAAAAAAAAAAAAAAAAAAAAAAAAAAAAAAAAACAAAAAAAAAACCATAAGTGAAATTATATACATATAAATCCAACATGCAACTTACGTCGATGTCTATCGGCCGAATGCCGGCTGCTGTGCTCACGTGAATGCCCCCGGTAATCACGCTCTCGCTCTCGCTCCCGCTCACGTTCACGCTCGCGATCACGATCACGATGATCATGATGCTCACTACAATGCGTATTCATTTATAAAATCGTAAATATTATAGTTATAGTAATTAGCAGCCTTACCGTCTGCGTTCGTTGTGATGACTGTAGGAGTTGCGATGCATGCTGCGGTGTTCACGTTCGTCGCGTCGCTTGCGTTCCTCCTCTTCGCGATCCTTTTGACGCCTTTCATGTATTTCCTCTACGGCTTTGCGCAAACGCGAATAACCCAAATGTTGTTTGCCCATCAAATGGTCCTCTATGCGCTGCTGAGCATCGCCAACAATTAGAAAAGCTCCACAGATTTCGCAAACTTCCATTTGCTTTTCGGGCAGTGTGCCGAGATCTTGCATCCAGGGTAATATTTTCTTATCACTGCCACTTGCGCTACCTTCTTCACTTTTTGGCGATTTTTCACCATCCGACTTTTCGGCATTACTCTCTGAAGGCGGTGTGGTTATGGCGTCTTTTAATGCACCATTTGTCTGCAGGTGTTGTTGCTGTTGCTGCTGTTGTTGTTCGTGTTGTCCAACTAATGCTTCTTTCTCGTCTTTTAATTGCTCACAAAGTGCCATCAAATCTTTTGCCTGATCCACATCACCACGTGTGCCAGCTTCTTCAGCTTCGGATAGTAATTTTTTTATGCGTGCATTAATATTGTTCAATTGTTCCTGGTATTTTGACAGCGGTATTATCGGTGTGGGTTGATCACGATGCATAAGTTGTAAGCGCTGTTTACCTTTTTGAATTTTTCGATCCACATCGTTCAACATATTATTACAGAAACGCAAAAACTCATCTTCGTACGAACGTTTACGTGGCGAAGGACGAGCTTCCTCATACAAACGCTTAGCCTCGTCATCATGTATTTGTGTGCATGGACCCAAATCGGCGCGAGTATTTATAAAAAGATCATGTGGGCAGAATTTTACAACGTAATATTGACAGAACTGTTGAGAAGCCATAGCAGAAGAAAACAAACATTCAATGTTAATTATACTTGATAAACAAAGAAAAAACATGCGCAAGATATTGATTTTGCAAAAAACCATTATAAAAAAATCATTCTTACGTCCGGATCATCCCAACTGATTTTACGTGGGGCCTCCGATGGATGCAAATTTCTGTTGCGACCCATCAATTCGTCTAGCATTTGGCGTGCTGCGTCGACCATTCTTTAAATTTAAGTTGATTCTTTTTTTAGCTACTGAAAATATGTGATTATTGACCCCGCAGGCACACTTTTTATATTTAGAATTTCGCCTGTATGGTTAAAATTTTCCAAGACTTTTTGCAGGTTTACGTGTTGTTTATCATCCAATTATTTGATTTATATATCCTCTGTGTTCTATAATTATTTATTTCGAAATTACATATACATATGTTTCAAATCGAATTATTTTTCACCAAATTTTTTAGCCTAAAAGATAGCGGACTTTATAAATCCAATATGTCAGAACATAAATGACATTTCAGACGTTGCCATGTTACAATAAAACATTAAAAATACATGGTTGCACTGATAAGTGTGGATTCTAAATATTTTGCGTGGAATATTCGCTACGTTTTTTAGTAAAAAAAAAAATAGGAAGTCGATAGACCTACGGTGCTAAAATTTTGTATTGCTTTTTAAATTTAATTTTTAATTATCAACGGAAAGCGAGAATGTAGTATAAAACTTATACGCAAGGTTTGAATTAGCCGCCATATAAGAGATAGTGTTAACAACTCTAAAGAAAATAAATTTTCAAAACTCCCTTCGTTTTTACATCTCTTTGTATTTTAACGGAAAATAATTTTTTTTTTTTAACTTTCAACGTGTAAAAAAATTATTAGTACTGAAAATATATTTGCAAAAATAAGATATTGCTCCAAGTTAACATGGTTTTTGGACCGCCTAAACGACGTTTGCTCATCTTCGATTTCGATGAGACGCTGATTTCAGTGGATTCGATTTCCCTCCTACGCGACTTACTGCCATTATACCGCCGGCCAAAAAGACCCAAAAGAGCAAAAGATGGCAAAGTCACGTACCTAAACACAATATTTGGGGAGTTGCGTGCCATGGGTTACACATCGACCGAACTGCGCCGCCTCGTAGCGGCTATACCGCCAGTACCGAGTATTGTGGACTTTATAAAACATCTTTACGAATCGTGTGATCCCAAATATGACATAATCATTATTAGCGATAGTAATTTGATATTCATCAAAGATTGGTTAGCCCATAATTTGTTGAGCAAATGTTTTAGGGAAATTTTCGCAAATCCCTCATATGTGGTAAGTAGCGATGGTATACGCGTGGAGCCGCTACAAAACACCAATTGTCCTTTGGGTCCACCTAATCTCTGCAAGCGTGACATTTTGGAAAAATATCTAGCGAAACGCCAGGGTGTGGGCGTAAATTATGAGCGTGTGATTTTCGTTGCTGACGGCGCTAATGACTATTGTCCAACGCTAATTATGCGCAGGGATGATATTGTGTGCGCGCGCAAGGGTAAAGATTTGGAAAGGAAAATACGTTGCAATCGGCAAAAGTGTAAAGTTCGGCCATTGGTATTGTTATGGAGCAGTGGTCACGATTTATTGACTCTGCTGGAGACAGCGTTAGATTGTGTGGCCATTTCATGCATATAAGTGTAGCGGGCGATTGTAAAGGATAGAAATAAATATTATAAAATAAAATTAAACAATTAAAATAAATTTGGAGTGTGTGTATATAAAAAACTAAAAATTTTGAATAACTTAAATAAAAAATATATTAAAATATTTAGATATGAATGTATGTAAAATATTTAAGAAATATACAAGGTGTAAAAAAATTTCAAAAAATTATGATAAATTTAAAAAAAATTATGAAAAATGTAAAAAAAAATTACATATATAAAATGTATAAATAATATTAAAAAACGTTGATGATTATAAATTTGTAATCCTTTTTATTGACAAAAAAAATCTGTAGCAAAATATCGAAATATTTTATTGAATTGATTGTTATAAATATCGTCATCCTTAACAAAATAGCACTTATTAATTAATAATGATTAAAAATTGTCAACCAAACGTAACTTTTGTTCAATTTGCCGCGCTTGCGCATTTGATAGTGATGGTACTAATATTCATATGATTCCTCTTCTACTGTCTACAGAATAATTAAATATTTAATAAAGAAAGTCAAATATTTCATAAAATATAATAAAAAAAGCACATCTAACATATTTGCAAACATAAAATATAAGCATGAAAGAGTTAAAAAAAATATTAACAACAATTCAGTTATGTATTTAAAAAAGTTTATTTTTAAAAAACAAGCAGCAGCTAACGCTTCCGGGTTTCCAAAATTAATTTTCATTTTTCGAAATTAACTTTCAAAATCAATTACCAACGTTGAAAACTAGTTTTCTTTTCTCGTAATAAATTTTCGGCTTTCGGCGTTAATTTTCAACTTTCGAAATGAGTTTCCGATTTTCGAATTTAAAATTTTTTTCGAAATAGATTTTCGATTTAAAAAATTGGGTTTTGTTTTTCCAAATCAACTTCGAAATTTATTTTCTAATATATATTTGGTTTTAAAAATTGGGTTTTGTTTTTCCAAATTAATTTCGAAATTTATTTTCTAATATATTTTTGGTTTTCTATATTGTCTTTCGAAATTCATTTACGACTTTCGAATTTGATTGCAGGGAATTGCGATTTTCGAAATGAATGTTCAGATTTTGAATTTAATTTTTAATTTTAATTAATAAACTAAACTTCCCCTTTCGAAATCAATTTTTAACTTTCTAAATAAATGTGCCACTTTCGAACTTCGATGCTTGGAATTTGTTTTGTGCTTTCGATAAAACAAATACATGTAAATGTATACACAAAACCACATGAATCTGCATAAAGTGAACTCCGCACATTAAAGCAGTTTAATATTTAATAAATGAAATTTTATTGAATTTTTTTATTTATGTGCATTATTTGACATTATTTCTTATATATAAAGACATGATTGTGTTTGCATGCAGCAAATCTTACTTTTCTGCTTATCATATAGTATAGTAGTATAGCTTTAGTTTTAGTTTATTCTGCTTTTTCACTCATTGAAATGTACATACGTAAACATTTACTTTTACCTTTATTTATACTTTAATTACATCATTTTTAAATTGTTTGTTTATTTATATATATATGTATATCTAATTTTCTTTTTTGCACTATAATACATCTTGTTAAATTAACACACTTCTTTTAAGCTTAAACTTTCTTTTTAGCATAGTTGAATCGAGTTTTTTTTGTATTTTCTGATAAATTTAGCTTACAATTAAATATTAAACGAAACTAGACACTTAAACTTAGTTTTAAAAAAATTATATGTAAATTAAATTTTGTTGTAACCTAAATGCTGGTAGAAGTATGTAATTTATTAAATATTTATGTATAATGTAAAGGCGTTAAGTTTGTCATCAATTCTTCAATAATATGCGCTGGAAAACGCATTTCTTTAAACTAAAGTTAAAATATTAATTTCTGCTTTGAACTAGCGAGTGGCGCAACAGTGCGACAAAATGCGACCGGCGAAAAGCAGCTTCAAATTCGCATCAGTTCTACTCTACAATTCCAACGTCGCATTTTACTGCTACTACAACACATCCTCGTTGTGGCTACTACGCTTGGGGCAGTAACGTATCACCCCCACTCAGGCAACAACGGGCGGTGGCGGCGGCGGCGGTGCCAGCGTGCCGGTTGCGCTTGCCTTATTCGTTACTGAGTTTGCTTTGGCGGCTGCTGCACCACCTTTGCCAGTCACATGCGGCGCTGTTTGATCATTGGCTGATGTTGTCGTTGTTGCATTCGCTGACTGAGCTTGTGCTAGTGTTTTCGTTTGTTGCTTTTGTTGTGCAGATACAGGCGCTAAGGCTGTGTGCGGTGCCGCACTGACCGTTGCCGCGGGACTTGCAATTTGCACGCGTTTCACATTCTTAGCCCGTCCGCACGGTACGCACAACATCGAACAGTGCTCGCGCAGCTTAGTTATGTGATCTATTCGATACTCGTTTATCCATTTTACTTTCTTATGTTTGATCGGTTTGATTTTCTCACCATTGGGCGATATCATATTCGTTTGTGGTAAACCCTCGGGTTTGGTGGCGCCACACCGCATACAAATGCTGCAGCGATCACAGCTCCAACGACCTGTGCATTAGATAGAGGGAGAAAGAAAGAGAAAAACACATGTAATAAATAATAATTAAAAAAAAAAGAAAAAAACTTACCATCTGGCACGGCTTTAACGTCCAAGCAGTAAATATGAAAGCCTCGATCGCACTGCTCACAGTAGAGCATTTTATTCTGATCCTGCTTGCCCTTGCATTTGATGCAGCATTTGCAGTCGACACATTGCCAATTGTAGTTGCGCACGCGCGTCACCATGCGTGAAGGCATTTCTACGCAACTTGGGTGCACTGTTGAAAAATTAATATAAATTAAATTACAAAATCCAGCTCTGTAATCGCTGCCAAATTACCTTTTCGCCGACAGGTGTAACAGCGTATGAAGACTTCAGGCAGGTTTTTCAAATTGCGATTCTGTATGCGCTGGCAAACGCCGCAAGTGGCAGGTGTATCGAACTCTTCGTCCGTTGCAGAGGAGCCCTCATCACTAGAGCTATCCGTATCACTATCAGAATCCTTTAAAGAGCCAAGATATTAATGTCATGGCACTGAAAAAAAAATAATTTTGAAAACACTGAACTCACCGTTTCGCTTTCACTTTCACTCTCGGATGTCGACATTGCCGATTCGGTTTCGCTGTCATCTTTTTCCTTCGTAGCATAGCGTGAGCGTACATTACGGCGCATAATGTTGCGCGTCAGTAGATTCTGAGCGTTAGAATTCACGCTGCTGACTGGTATAGACTCAAGAACAGCTGCTCCGGTAGGCTCGATAAGCGACTTGTCATCCAGTACTCCAGGGACATCAGCAGGCTTTTGCAGGTATTCAGTCAACAACCGTGGATTCTGCAGCACCGTATTGAGCGGCAAGCAACTGTTGTAAGAGAAATTAAATTACAGATACAAATAGTATAAGTATTTCGCAATCTTTTTACTCACCTCAACTCAAATGGTGTGTACTGTCGATATTGGGCACTATATTGACCCGGCACTAGCGCCACTGGGTAGCTGGTGTTCAGATCTCGCGGCGGCGTGGTTCGTCGCGGCTGGAGTAGTGTTGGTGGTTCAGGTATTTTCTCGGCTTTGGCTGCCGCCGCGACTACCTCGGCAATAGGCCTATTGACGCTTGTTGTTGTCGGCGCTGTCGCAGGCAATGGCACGTTCATTGTCAACGTCTGCAAATCCAAACAAGCCAAACGTTCTTCTTTGCGGCTGTAAATATAATAACGATTTATGGAATATTTGTATAAATCTTTTTTTTTCAATAAGTGTACTAAATGCCTTACGTTCTATTGAAGTATGAGTTCCATTTGCTGGCCGACAGTAGCGCACGTTCTCGCGCTTGCAATCCACGACCAGACACGTTGAGACCTAAAGCTTTCTGTTTTGCCTCGATTTCCCGCAAGTGCTTTTGGCGTATGAAATCCTTATACTCCTCATACTTCCCATAGAAATCAGTATACATAATATCCAATATATCGGATGCCCAAACAGCTGTTATGCCCAAGTCGCACATACGTTCCGACACCAAGCCCTTTTCCTGCAACCAATTGCGCTCCTCCATGTCGATTTGTCGACGCGGCAGATCGGGATATTTTCGCTTAAAACTCTTTATACCCAGATAAAGCGCAACCTGCTCTTGTATCATGAATGTATCGCGATTCTTTGAGGGGCAACAGCCCTTTGGCGGTGGCCAATCATACTCGGCAATGGCGGAAACGGTGATTTCAGCACTGAAAATTTACAAAAAAAAAAAAAAAAAATACATATTTAATATAAAATATATAGAAATGTATGAGATATAGGACTCACTCTTCAGCAACGCAGACTTCCATTTTCTTCTTCTTTGGCCGCTTAATAGCGCTGCCATTTTGTACTGCAGCCACTGTATTGGGATCCAAAATGCTATTTGTGCTGACCACGGATGATTGCGATTCATCATTGGCGAGGAAATCGGGTTGCCTGCAAATAAATATGAAATACCGTTAAAGACCGAAACTTTTAAAAATTTCAAAGAAATGCTTACCTTATGGGCGTTGCGGGATCCGACTGCATTTGGCTCAAGTCGGCGCTCATGCGTGTATCCTCTTCAAATACTTGTGGGGACTAAAAAAGAAAAAAAGCAGAAAAAAAAATATTTTTATAAAAAAAAAGTTGTTAATGGAAATTGAAAAACAATTTAAAAATATTTTATAGAAATATTATATTAAAAATTTTGAAAACGCAAAAAAAAAAAGCAATTCGAAGTTTTTATATAAAAAGTATAATTTAACAAAAAAATTTAAATAAAAAACCTGAAAAATGTGTAAAAGTCTACATTTTGAAAATAAAAATCAAAATCAATCAAAACAAAAAATCCTAAAAAAAAAATAAAAATTTTGTATTAAATAAATGCTATAAAAATCAAGTAAAAAGTAAAGCAACAAAATTTGAAATTAAAAAAAAAATATATATATGTATGACATGAACTATAGATGTATATACAAAAACTGCAATAAAAATTAAAAAAAAATTAAAAACGCTATAAAAACATAAACACAGTAAAAAGCAACAATACAAAAAAGGTAAAATATAACATACAATTAAAAGAAAAAAAATCAAATAAATAAGAATAAAAAATTCAATAAAAATAGGAAAATAAATACATTAAAAATTAAATAAAAAATTAAAAATTTAAAAAAAATAATAAAAAAAAATGCATAAAATATAATTAAAAAAAATGTATAAAGTATAATAAAAAAATGTATAAAATATAATAAAAAAAATTATAAAATATAATAAAAAAACTGTATAAAACATAATAAAAAATATGTAAAAAAAAAAAATTATTTAAAAAATACATTAAAATTAATTTAGAAAAATACATGAAAATTATTTAAAAAAAAAGTACATTTAACATAATTAAAAAAAAAACAGAAAATAATTAAAAAAAAAAATACTTAAAAAGAAAAATAATGAATAAATAATAATTAAAAAATAAATGAAAAAAACGAAAAATTATTCAAAAAAACCCTAAAAATAAAATATGGCGTTGAAAATAAACCAAAGCAAAAATATATCAATAATAATAAAATACAGAATAAAATACAGCAAATTTAAAATTAAAATAACAGTAAAAATATATCTAAAAATGCAAAATAAAAAATTTTAAATGTAACATTTTTTCAATTTTTAAGTTTCTCAATTCTAAAGTATAAATACTATAATATTTGCAAACATTTTTCATTTTTTCATAGGTCTCATAATTAAGAGGTAACTTGTTCCCCAACTTATTTAAGCCAAATGAAGCAGGGGAAATTTTCATAGCTGGGGAAGTAAAGCAAATGAATTCGGCACACGCGACAAAATGGTGAGTAAATGGCAAGAAACACACCACCGCACAGAAGAAGAAGAAGTTATCGTGTCGTTAGTATGACACAAAGAGAAATGTACAAAAGCAGCTGCTTGCTCTGTCCGTCCCCCTTGTTGCGCTTTGTTTCGCACACCTGAGCTTATTCAGATGTTCAATGCGATTATGAACTGGTATGCGGCGCTACCGATGTATGGATGACGTTCCCTCTACCGCCGAAACGAACATCAGCAAGCAAGCAGCGACAATGAACGCCTCTTTCGTCAATTCAATGCGATGTGAAATGTAGATAGATAAGTAAGTATTTACGCCTGTATTTGTATGTGTTGGTCTATTCAACACAAAACGAATTTCACTAGTGAACAAAATTAATAAAAAAAAAAATTTATGAAAACAATAAAAAAAAAAATAAACAAAAACAAGAAGAAATATCTTAATACACCAGTATGTCAGACAATACTTGTTTTCAGTTCTCTGTGGAGTTGTTTTTCTTGTTCAAAAACATGCAAGAGCTTATTAATAGCTACACTTACCGGACTGAAGAGACCTTTCATACGTTCCGGATCCGGTGTATGCTTCAGACCGCCCACACAACGCGGCCGACTGAGCGCAATTTGTTTAGCCACAGCGCTGGCGCCACGTCCCAAACGATGTGCGCGTGTACCACGTCCACTGCCACGACCAGAACCGCGTCCTCGTCCCCGACCGCCACGTCCACGACCACTAACGGGTGTGGATAATGAGCTTGTATTTGAGTCATCTGTAGGAAAAAAATAGAAGGAAAAACACAATTCCAAGAATTAATTAACCCTTTTCCCTAGATTTTTCTGGACGAAAAACCACTACGACTATTTATTTTCACTTACCTCCAGACAAATCCGTATTTCTACCAAACGCGCCGCCACCCAGGCTGCTGGACTCATCATCGTGCGCATCAAACTTGGCGCTGCTAAGCGTTGCCTGCATACGCAACATATCTGTTTCGAGGCTAGCAGCAGTGCTACTCTGCATTCCGCGTAGCTGTTGTGTCGCCATAAGCGATGAGAAATCGTTAGGTCTGAAGACCACATCCGGCACTGGATCGGAAGAGGAAAGTATGGTTGCGGGTGGCAACATCGAGCTGCTGCTCTGATTTTGTACTACCACGTTGAGTGCGCCACTACTCGCAACTGTCGGCATGTTGCCACCACCACCAGCTATAGTTACAGTGGCTGTTGCGCTGCCATTGCTCGCGGAGGATGAGGATGAGCACAAGTCAATCTGTGATGCTAGCGAAATGGACGTAAGTACGCCGGCGGGGCTTGGTTGATTGACAACGGGTGCCGTAGTAACAGTGGCCGAGCTCATCGAGCTGCTCGAATAGGCAGATGAGAGGCTAGAATTTGAGCCACCACAGTGATTAAGGACGGACATTACGTTTTCGGACAGGGAATTTGTGGTGATCGTGGCAGTTGCTGCAGTTGTTGCACCCAAGACATTCATCGTGCGTTTACGACTTTTCAAGGGCATCTCGCCATTATTTGCGGCCGTTTTGGTTTTCGCAGCTACCGGGACCGCGCCACCTGGTAACATGCTGCGCCGAGAAATACGTGCACCTGTACGCAACGGTCGTTCGTTTTTCGAAGCCTCTAAGTCATTCGCCAGGTCTGCTACTACCTGTTCCTCAAGTGGCTGCTCGGCGTCTATCATATCTATAGCGAGACGTTTGCGTAACAGTTCCACACGACGTGTCTTTGATGTTTCGTCCGAGGCCAAGGTATCCGTATCCTCTGCGTTGGAAGCTTCGGTCAATGTTGCGCTAGTGGAAACGGGCGTCACAATATTATTCAGAACACTCTTTTTCGGACGACCCCGACGTTTGACAAGGTGCGGCGTGTTTGCTGTGGATGATTGCTCTGTTACAGCTGAGTTCACCGCATTCAGTAGAGTTGCATGCTCATTGTCTATGTATTCGTTGGCAGTTAACTCATTACTTATTTGATATTGCAGAGTGTCCTCCTCGTCCAGTGGTATGGACAAGAGATGTTCGTGACGTTGTTTTCGCGAACGATGAATAGAGGTTTTGGGAGATGTGAGGTCCATTGTGACAGTAGTGGAGTTCTCCGTGGACACAACTTCGTTAGTTATGTCCACAACATGATGATTGCCACCGAAAAGAGTGGGTGACGTGGTGATCAATTTCGTATTCGACGATTCATCATCGGTTAAAATAGTCAAAGTGGCCATTGTGTGGGATTCACTATCAATTCGACGTACCTTGTTCGGTGTGATCTATTTAGAAAGGGAGAAAGAATATATTTCAATATATATGGTAATAAAGGAAAAAAACCCTTTCACATGGGGGGGCTAGATGGAGACAAGATAACGTAAAGCTCTCCGACTTCCGATTTTAATTGCATGAAGTATTATATCATTGGATACGAGAAGGAAGAGAGAAATATTTTCGATTTCTCTAGAGACTCGAACCATGGGAATGGGGATGAAAAAGCCACAAAGTGTGAAGGTGTCATCAAAACTTACCTCAATACACTGCTCTGACACATCGTTTTCCACCATTAGAGTGGAGACGGTAGCGTGTCTCTTCAAGTTTATGTTATTCAGCTCGTCTGTACTCGCAGCCGAATCCTCGGGTATATTATTATTGCATCTCAAGATGTCGGCACTATTTTCGCCGTAAGCACCACCCCGCGCTGTATTGTTCATCAAGCCATCTTCGTTGTTCAGGTGCAGATTCTCCTGTAATCCCGAGACATCATCCATCGTTAGACGTGGACTACCCTCGGGCGTATCCAGTATCTCAATGGAATCTATTACCTTCTCCGGTTGTGGCGCCAACTGATTTGCTAGCATACTAACACCACTCCCCGTTGCGGTATTCAGGGCCGCAATAGAATTGCAGGCCGCGTTCATAACGTTCGCATTTGGATGCACGCGCGCGCCGTTGGCCTTAAGACGTTCTGTTAACTGTGGATATTTGATGCTGTTACTTATCGGCTGATGGTTTTGTGCCTTTTGTGGATGTAACTCCAGCTCCATCCGCTGTTGTTGCTGGGTCTGTTGTGGCTTTGGCTGCAGTGGCGGCGGGGCGCCGTACTTGCTAGCGTTCAGCGTCGAGTTCAATTGGTTTAACAAAAGCCGGTTATCCAACGGCGGCGCTGTCTGTATGACGCTCATTTCCCGTTGTAGACGCTCCATTAGTATGGTGGGCTGGGGCGGCTGTTGGGCATCACTTATTTGCGGATCTGCATCGGTATAGGTGAAATGGGCTGGCGAAGAGCCAGGCGACGGCGAGGACGTCAGATCAACGGTATCGACGACATTCGTGAGATCCTCGCTGTGTCGGGGCGGTTGCATTAGATCCGCTTCGTCGGCATTCTCCATACGGAGCGAATCACCATTACTGACATGAAAAATATTATTGAATACTTGTGGATCGTGGTTTTGCAGACCTTCATCGATGTCCATGTCGTCAGAGTTGCGGCGCGGTTCTTGTATATCATCCTCCAATGCAAGAGCTGTGTGTTGGTGCTCGTTGTTGAAGCCACAGAACTCTTGACTGATACTCGACTCGCCACCGTTCACCAACTGCTCATGCGCTTTGCTCTCTATGCTCTGTTGTAAATCCAGCGCCCTCTGCGTTGCGTCGCATACGGTTGTAGCGTTTGTGTCGGCGGCGGTGGCGACTCCTTTTGGGTCGCTGGATTTTCCACACTTTTTTGACGCATTGCGTGTTGTTTTATCTTCCAGCACCGCTTTCATACGCAATGTTGGCGATGAAAGATTCTTAATCGTCAACTTGGGCACCACTTTGTCGGCGTCAGCATCTTCCGCTGCGGAAAGCGGAGGTGAGGACTCACCGCTCAAACATTCGTCACTCTCTTCTGAGGACTGCTGCTCTACATTGCTTGGTATTGACTTAATAGTCAACTTGGGAATCTTTTCCTTCTCCCGCTCATTACCGCAGCCACTATCCTGACTGTTGGTTTTAATCGTCAGCTTGGGTACGACTTTCTCCACAGACACATCACAGTTTATGTTCTTTGTATCCTGCCGAGATATCATCAACTTAGGTAGCCTCTCCGGCGATTCGGGTTTTCGTATGCCGCTCGACAACTGCCGCACTATCAGCGGCGACTGTTTTGGCGATTGCGGCGCAGAGCTACCCTCCAAGCTCGCCATGGATATTGTCAATTTGGGTATGGAGTGCGTGTGCTCGGTTTCTGTTTGTTGCTGCAGCGTTTTAATACAAAATTTGGGCGTCGCTGCCTCCGCGACTGTTTCATGAGTTTTTATTGTTATCTTGGGTATCTTCTCCGGCGGCGGATCTTCGCTCCGGTCGCTCAACGACTCGTCCATGTCCAGTGATTTTGTTTTGATCGTCAGCTTTGGTATAACCTGTGAGTTGGAGGTGTCGTTATGTTGAGTTATGATCACTGCGTGCTCCTGTCCGGTTTTAATGGTCAGTTTAGGTATTTTGCTGCTGCTGCTAGCAGCTTCATTGGCCTCAGCGTGGGGTTCAGACATTGCAGTAGCCGCCGTCGTACTTACGCAGGCACCGGCTGCATTGGTTTTGATGGTCAGCTTCGGTACAAGCTCATCTTGCTTGGGAGGCAAAGCTTTAATTGTTAGCTTAGGCACAGAACAGGCGTTGGTGGCATTCGATACCGTACACGACGCCGTAACGGAGGATAACGATGGCAGTCCGGCGGATGACGATGTGCTCGAGGACGAGGAAGAGGAGGACGCCGGCGATATAGTCGACATTATCGACTCGCTTGTGCCATCCAACGAAGTTTTGATGGTGAGTTTGGGTAAGGGCGGTGGTGAGTGGTCCGTCGCGAGAGATTTTGTTGTGACGCCACTATTCGCCGTCGAAGTGGATGGCGACAATTGATTTAAGCAGCTGCTTTGGGAATCAGACATCTTGATCGTCAATCTAGGTACAACGGAGCTGTCCGAGCTATCGTTGGCCGAACGTATCGTCAGTTTGGGCACAATGTGTGGCTCATCGCTCACACCACCGACCGTTGACGTTTTTATTGTCAGTTTCGGTATTTGATTGCCAACCCGTGTACCGATGGGCTCTGTACTCGCATCATCTTCGGCAGAGGATGAATAATCCGAGGAGGGTATATCGTTATGCTTCTTCACAATCGTTTTAATGGTGATCTTCGGCACAATGGTCGCATTGGTGGTGCTGTGTGTGTGTAAATTTATTTTGAGAGGCTCTACTTTGCGAGTGGTCTCGGCGCCACTGTGGCTCGCTTTGCTCTCGTCGGCTATCGACGCTTCCATATTGCTTTGAGATTCACTAGTGCGTGCATTGACGCACGTCGCATTCGGTTTGGGTAATTTCAGTATGATCTTGTGTGACTCGGTGTTGTGCTCGGTGGAAACTATGTGACTTTGTCCAACACTACCACTCACCGTATGACCTCCTCCGGCCTTATCCCCACCAGTTGAGGCCACTGTTGTGCCAGACTGTTCGCGTGCAACCATATTCGTTTCGTTGCCGCCTCTGCTGCCGTTCGACAGCTCCAAACTTCCGTTACTTATATTACTAATACTAATTTTGTTGTTGCTGCTCGCAAGTAAGACCGACGACATATGCGCCGTCTCCACACTTCTACTAACACCTGCTGAACGTGTCGCCGCTGCAGCAGAAGAGGTCGTCGGCATTCCCGAGTCCAGCGCGGAGTATGATGCTGCTCGTGCGAAAGCGTGGACCGCACCGACACCCTGCTTCAGTGTGTTTCGACCAACGAATGAAGATTGCGTCGATTGTTGTGGCGATTGCGAGTCATCCTCGCTGGAGACATCCGTTGTTGTTATGTCGCCGCGGTTTTGTGTCGATTGTCTGCCGCTACCGCCGCTACTGCTGCTGCTGCTGTATGACGTGGACAATACACGTTGCGGTGAAGAGCTGCAGTCATTACCGGTGGAGCTCGTTATGCGCGCCGGAGATGTGATCAATGCCTCGAGACGACGTGGCAAATGACCGGTGGAGCTTACGTTATGGCTATCACACGAAGTCGAGGTGACGGTTTGCTCCTGGTCTTCTTCAGCAGCACTCTGATTGTTGGGCTGCGAATGGGCCAGAGCGGCGTTAGAGTTGAAGTTAATACGTCTGCTGTGCTGAGGTGGATTTTGTTGTGATTCTTCGGCCGATTGATTGTTGTTAACATTCATTTCTTAGCTGCGGCTCCTACGTCGTTCAATCTTGTGTTGGATTGCAAAAACCAATGAATAGGGAGGTAGGTCTTTCGACGTCAAACTGGATCAATCAATTAATAAGTGCCAAACGCCATGGCTTTGAGTAAAAAGCGACAAATGTCTGTAAGACAGAAGATAAAGAAAATACGTCAGTAAAATAAAGAAATATTTAAATATTCTAAAAAAATGATGCTAGAAAACGCAATAGCTTCGATCATATAGCGAACCGCCCACCGAATCCCAGTCTCAAAGGCTCTTCAGCCAACGAATTATCAACAAAATTTCATTGAGATCGCGCCCCAAAATCTCAAAGACTTCTAACGCAATTGTCATCAAGGCAGCAAATCCACATGTATGCCGTTTGCCGCCACAACTCAGCGAGCCCACGCGATAGGTGGTTAGTCGTGATAAGCGGACGAACGACGGTCGACAGACAAGACCGACAATGACGGCAACGACGTGGTCGAGGTCCAGCCGGCGAATGGCGCGAGCAAAACAAAAAGCGCAAACAAGTAAGAAAACAAACAAGAGTTTTGGTTCTTAGCTGTTTACCGTTGTTTCACCTAGTAGTAGTAGCAGCAGCAGCAGCAATAGTAGCAGCATTTGAAACAGCATAATCACTACAGCTGTTCGTTCGGCTAAGCGTTCATAGTAGCTGTTGCTTTTTGCCGTTGATGTGGTTCCTTTCCTTTGAATTCTACACCTTATCACACACAACCACCACCCCACAGCACACCTATTTCCAAGCCAACGTTGAATGACATGTTGCCGTTTTGCGCTCTTTGCATACACAGCGCTCTCGCACTCTCTGGTGCGCGCATAGCAAAGCCAGTTGAGCGCGCAGTTCGTTTACTCGCCGCTTAAATACGGCTGGTGTTAGCTAGTGTAACGATGATGACGCCACCACAGGCTGACTGAATTGACTGCTATAGTGCAACCCCCTCGCCTAGATGCGCACTCGCGAAGTTCAGCGACGAAACAACGAAGAGCTGTAATAAAATTACCATCACACGGCCAACGTACTAACTAAATTGAGATGATTCTTTCATTTGCTATGAATTAAAATATTCGAAAGTCATGTGCACTGTCGCGCGATTACCGTTGTTACTGCTGCTGGCCAACTATCGACCGACCTGCCAAACGGCACGGCAGCCGCATACCAACAGGCAGCAATCGGTTGTCAGCAGCCGTCGTCAGTTAGTGCGAACACACAATCGGCCGACACAGACGGGCTGGCATGCAGATGGTAGTGGGCTAGGCAATCGACCCGGTGAATCGTTGTCACATTTGCAATTGGCACTCCAAGCGAAGCACAAGCTACCAAATGAACAACACGTGCGGATGAACGGCAGTAAATACGCGTACATGCATACGAACACGTCGCTGTGTGTGTGAGCGTTTTGTTGATGAAAAGAAAAACGTGTGAATCAAAATGAAGATCTATGCGAAGGCTTTGATAAGGATACTTTCGATGATACAATAGAACGTTTGAAAGGGAAAAGGACGAAGATCAAAACTTCTTTCTCTTAATTGACGTACGCACTACTTACATGCTTATAGGGGAGACAGCAATATGACAGCAGTCGTTACTTCATTTCACAGCTCGATGCCAATTGGAAGACCCAAAGTGAAATCAGGTCCTTTTCCATCTGATATCTTTAAATCTCTGTTCGAAATTTTAATAATTGTCGAACATTTTTTCACGAGGATCCTTTGAAGAATTCCTTCGTACATACGCATTTCAGCTTTACTCTTTTTCTTCACTTCTCTTCCCTTTGCAAGCCATCGATATCTTTTCCACACACCTTGCGCTGCAATTAATCGTCTTTCATCAGTTCCCAATAGGTTATGCCATTTCGAAGCTAATTACATTACGAACCCACTCGCACTACATCCGTGCCATTGCTCCACGTGAGCGAACAAAATTACGACTAATGATGAAAGTGCGCACGATTTGATGTGTAAGCAAAGACTGAAACTCGATCTAACGGCACCGTAAAAGCGTGAATGGATATAGCTAGTCTCCTCTCACTTCCCACCATTTCACCTTGCGAATAAATTCTTCAAATGTAGTTTTCCCCCTCGGAGTTCAAGACATGTTGAAAGATGAAAATTTTGAAACTCGAAAATAAGATTGCCATCTCAAATGTAAGTTGAAAAAATATATTCCATAAAAACTAAATGTTTAAAAATAGACAAATTAATGAAAGTTATTTTATAAGCAGCTCTAATGAGGAATGCTTTGCTTGAGTTAGAAAAGTAAAAAAAAAAATATATTCTTGGTAGCAAACATCAGCGATTATCGCATGCTGGTTTCTTTCCCCTCTTTCATTTGCACAACGAAGGATGCAAGCAAAACAAAAACTAGCATGAAATAAACGAACAAAACAAAACGAAAAATGCCGAAGGGAATTAATAAGCTTAGAAAATGTCCAAACTGTGTTGGGTCGATACCAAGTTGCGGGTAGCAGTGCAAACTAATCGAAGCGCCATCATCAGTCGGTCGTGCGCCCTCATCGACCAAACGCCCGACGTTGGATGATGGGCCGAATGCGCGACCGAGCAAAGAAACGAATAATGGAACGCACGACTTCCAAAAGTTTGCAATTTCGACAAACAGCCAGCCAGCCAACCAAACTGCGCTCCGCCGCTGTTAGTTAGTCTGCCCGTCAGTCAGTCAGCCGAGCAGGCGAAAGTGTTTTGACAGAAACAAAGCGCTGCTACTAAGCACAACACACTCCTACACCTCAGCCTCGACCGCAAGACTTATGTGCGCTACTAGTAAATATATATGAGTGCATGCATGTAAATGAAAATCAAATATATGAATGAACAAGTCCGCGCGCGAGCGAGCGAATAAGTGTGAGGGTAGGAACATATGAATGAACATACGGAATGGACGGACAAGCAAATGAGCGAACCAACGCACAATTGTTGCATCTTCTTCTCGTATGGCACAATGTTTTGCTTTCGGGTCATTCACCCGCAGACCGAGACAGACAGACAAGAGACAAGCAAGCTTAAAGGCATGCCTTTGTATTCTGCATATGTACCAGCAAGCGGCGGTCGCCGTACACGCTTTACGCTCGTGCACCCGCAAACACCTGCAGCAAGCAGTAGCACACATCAGCGGCAGTCGCAGCCTCGCGAATGGGTTCGCTTCTGCCTTTTTTTTTTTGTAAAATTTCATTCATGTTAGCTGATTGTCGGGTGTAAGGCCCACCAGCCCTGGAAAGGGGATTTCAGCGGTGTCAGGGTAGAGGAATTCCACTGCACAACGGTAAAATGCGAAAAATAACGAAGATTACACGCTTGTCGTCGTTAATATGACTAAGATGATAAAAGCAAACGCAATCAGACAATTGGGCGACAAATTAGAGTACCAACGGTTAGGACTTTGAACACGGTTTAGACTGATTGTAGTTCTTTCGCGAATGCGAATTCTTTCAACAGCGGTTATAAGGTTTGACATTAAATGGGAAATAAGTGATTTTGTGAGAGGGAATAATATTTTTACTTAAATCAAGACCTAAACTTAGCTTATGTACTCATGTACGTAAGTTTATTTTTATGACAACAATTAGGTATGTATTTTCAAAATTTAAATTTTTTATGCCTTAGTTTTTTTTTCAATTTCATTATATTTAATTTTACTTTTTTCACTTTTATTATATTTTTTTTTTACTTTTTTTATTACTTTTATTTTTTTTTTAATTTTATTATTTTGTTAAATTTTATTATTTTGTTAAATTTTATTATTTTGTTTAATTTTATTATTTTGTTTAATCTTATTTTGTTTTTTTTTTTATTTTATTATTTTAAAAATTTTTTTTTAATTAGCTTTTTTCAATTTTATTATTTTTTTAATATTATTTTATCTTTTTTTAATAGTATTTTAGTTTTTTTTAATATCATTTTAGTTTTTTTAATATTATTTTATTTTTTTTAATTATTTTTTTTCTTTTACTTTTATTTTAGTTCTTTTAATGTTGTATAGTTTTTTTAGGTTTTTTTTTAATTTTATCTTAGGTTTTTTTTTAATTTTATTTTAGGTTTTTTTTTTAATTTTATTTTAGGTTTTTTTTTTAATTTTATTTTGGGTTTTTTTTTTAATTTTATTTTAGGTTTTTTTTTAATTTTATTTTAGGTTTTTTTCTTTAAATTTTATTTTAGGTTTTTTTTCTAAATTTTGTTTAAGGTTTTTTTTTTTAAACTTACTTAAGGTTTTTTTTTTTAAATTTTATTTAAGGTTTTTTTTTTTAAATTTTATTTAAGGTTTTTTTTTAAATTTTATTTAAGGTTTTTTTTTTTTTTTATTTTATTTAAGGTTTTTTTTTAAATTCTATTTAAGGTTTTTTTTTTTAATTTTATTTAAGGTTTTTTTTTTTAATTTTATTTAAGGTTTTTTTCAATTTTATTTTAGTATTTTTTATTTTTTTAGTTTTTATTTTATTTTAGTTTTAGTTTTTATTTTATTTTAGTTTTAGTTTTTATTTTATTTTAGTTTTTTTTTTCAATTTTATTTAATTTAAATTATTAATTTTTTTCTATTTTATTAAATAATCAATCCACTCGTCGAAGTTGTATATCATAGTGTGTAATCATCTGACATTTTTACCAAAAAAAATTTATTAAAATAAACAATAGTTAGTACGTCGCGGCACAGATAACAAAAAACTACGAAGAAGTAGGGAAAATCCATCAATGTAAATGCATACACACAGTGTAACTGTATATGCATATGTGTACATATCTATGTATTTAACAAAGGTGACTCACGGCAAATTAATATAATAATACATAAGCAAATATGTAAATAATATTCAAATAATTTTAATAGATGTTGTATATATGTACATTGTATGTATTTATATTTAATTGTAATGACTGTTTATGCACAGAGTCGACGACGCCAAAACGATAATATGAATAAATATGTACTTGCATTTATGTATATTTGTGTTTACATACATGTATGATTACATACATACATACTTCTAGTGCGATGTGTATTCAGCGCACAGCTAAGCTTATACGCTGCTGACCTTGGTATGGTTTAATTGGATTTATATACATACAAACATATATACATATTTTTTAATATTTTAATTTATCATTAACCAAGTCTTCTAAGCAAAAGGAAAAAGAGTTAACTTATTAGCACAACATGCACATACATATATGAAACAAATGCGCTACGAGTTTTTTTTTTTTTTTTTATAAAATTAACGAATATTTTTCGCATTTAGAAATTGCAATACTCTATAAACACTTAAAAATGGTAAAAAAAAAATAGTTGCATTTTTATCGGTTGGAATAAAAAATGTGTCACTTATGCACACACAAGTCGGTTAGTTACTGCACTTGTCGTCGTAGTGGCAGTCGTCGACGCGCTCGCACTCTAAACGAGCAAAAACAACTTGTTTCTTACTTGCATATATACATACATATCACTTTAAAATCACAAATCATTTTTAATTTTTCTTAAATTTTTATATACTCTATTTGATTTAAGCGCAGACTTTCTTTCACCCCATCCATTTCTTTGCTCCACTTCAGCTACACTCCACCCCTTTTTGTAAATAGGCAAACACAAGCTCATAAACACACACGCGGGTATAGAAAGCAAATGTACACATAGCATAAATACCTATGTGGGTATGTACTCACAAGTGAGCTTTTATGTATTCTAGCCATCAACACACCACACCAACAATTGAAGGCAGAAGAAAAGGCAAAGCGATTTTTTAAAAGCAAATATTTTTAAATGTTTGACCATAATTTTCACCTTCACAGCACACACATGCGCATCACACGGTGTTTGTTTATTGCAAATAATATTTTCTCCTCATATTTATCGAATTGCAAATAACTGAAAATTATATGCGCTAAACGCAACGACGAACGCTACACAGCACTGCGGCAATGTACGCGGTTCGAAACGTTGAACTTCGAAACCGAAAACGAGAACGAAAATTTTTGTTGGAATAAATATATTATTGTATCTTTTCGCTGTACAATTTATTGTATTTATTTATTTTTATGTGCGCTGTGAAATTTTTCAATGCTGTGCCAACGAACCAGCGCGCAATGGTATGAACGAATCGTACGAGCCAACGCACGAAAGTGTATGAAATGGAGGCAATGATAAAGCGAAAAAACAAAGCGCATGGCAAGAAACGACGAACCATGTAGGCGATGATAAAATCCAACGAATTTCGTTGCGACGGGTTAGCGGTTAGAGCACACCAAAGCAAGAAAGAACATTTAGATAGAGCGGGAAGGGAGTGAGACGTAAGCAAAAAACCGAGTGTATGTACGAATGGATGAAGCACGGACCGTACACACGAAGCACGTGCACAAGGGGAAAACATGAATAAAAGACGATGCAATGAAAGAAAACTACTCAATTGAACAACTGGGCGAGTGAGTGTATAGAGATAAATATAAAAAAAAGCTAACGCATATACGATTAAATGGCAGCCAACAAGCAAGCGAGATGTTTAAAGCGACGAACATGCAGCAGAGGTACCAGTAGCCGCTGCGACACACAAAGAAGAAACAACCAGCAGATACTTTTTTGTACACACATTGTAGACAATAAATTTTTGTATGTATTTAGGCATGTAGATATGTAGTTATGCGCACAAATATGGACTACATGTCAAAAGGTAGCGCAAAGATACAAGTACATATGTATGTAACATAAATATATATGTTTCCAAGTAAAAATAACATGAAGCAACGAATTAATAAAGCAAATGACATATGTATGTATGTATGTAAGCCTAATAGTCAAAAGCTAAACGCTTACAAATCATTTGGCTATTTCGCCTAGACACTGGTACATATGTAAATACATACATACATTTGCACGATATATTAAATACCGATGGGGTGTTGCGGGTGGTTGATTGAGCGTGTTATATTAAACATAAAAAATACCGGACATTTTCACAACGAGTACCATTTTTCTCGTTGCTATAATAAAGCAAACAACGAATTATTTGAGTCCCGCAATTTGGTACACGATCAAACATGAATTTTTACCCACAGGTATGCAAAATTTTAGCATTTTCGCTCAGGCCGTCATTACTATTTTGTTTGCATTTCTTTTTAAATGCACACAACACATAACAGCATACCGAACACCCGTTGAAGAGCCGACCGACATCTAGCCAATAGACGATTAAAAGAAATTTTGTTATAAAAACAACAATATCAACACACATATGTACATAGACATGAACATGAATACATTTATGTTGGATTTAAAAGTATAGGCAAATACTGAAGAAATAATAGCACCCAACAAATTAATAAAGGACAGTAAAAAAATGCGCCGATATGAAATGATGTTGTTTGGAGCAAAAAGTGTTCGACTTAATTTATGAAGATGGAGAAGCCAAAAAAGTGTACACTCGTTGCAACAAATCGGCAATTTATAAGCACCATTGACTAGAAGGGAAATATGGAAGTTTATAGCAGATATGTTTATTTTATAACAAATTTTTATATACTATATATAAATACGTAATTTAATTAAAAAATATTCTTTTTATTAATCAATAATGCCACCCACAAAAATTATTAAACAATGTCGAGTCCAACAATATAGCACAATCAGAGAGCAATGCAGTAGAGAGCCCTCGAATGAACAACAACAAATATGGTAGTCGATAATAAGAAAATTGTGCAGTAAAATAAATACAATAATTCATTAAATCTATATGAAAAAAAACATACATACTTATATACATATAAACCATATTTAATGTACATTGCTCCAATTTTTAGGACAATTTTTTTCTACAAGCCCAAAAAAAAATTAAAACAGTATCAAAAAATAATATAAAAGTAAGAAAATATATAAAAACTAATAAAAAATTAATATATTAAGTATATAAATAATATATTATATAATTTATTACACAAATATACAAAGAAAAAATTAAATATTTAAAATATATGAATAATAATTAAAAATAATACTTGATTTAAAAAAGTTTAATTGAAAAATAATAATTAAAAATAGTTTAAATACTAATAAATAAATAAATTAAAATTAAAAAATAAATTAAATCAAACATAGACATAGACATTTATGTAATTTCAGCACTTCCATAATTTAAAGCACAGCTTTATTTGCATACACACACTGCTGCACACCGAGAGCAATGAAATTTAAATGAAAACAAAATTGTGCATTAACTTTCCTAACCGCATAGCAAAAAGTAAACATCTTGTTTACAAGTAAGCAAAGAAATTGGAGGCGAAAGAAAAAAGACAAAAAACACATGGTGGAAAACTAAAAATAAACCAGGAGTGCAGCATATGGACTTGAAAAGTACTAATAAAAAAAAAAAAACAGAGCGAGAGAGCCGTGTAAATACATATGTATGTTGAGGCGGTTAAGAGAGCCGTAGATCAAATGACACAAGCTAACTGAGTTCAAATTTTTCAATGCGATGGCAGTAAGAAAAGCCAAAAAGTTAAGAAAGAAAATACATGCGAAGTCTGGGTATTTACTCTGCTCAGCTTCAATTCCAAACTACAAAACAAATAAAAATCTAAAAATTTTTGGAAAAAATTATGACTGACCCTGAAAAAAGCTATCACAAAACCCCACCAAAATTGCTTTCATCCGTGATCGCTGGACGTGTGAGAAACTGTTTGTTGGAAACTGGAAAACGTAACTGAAAAAAAACGAAAACAGGAAATTAGTACTCACCCAGAAACCCGGGCAAAAGAAAGTAACCAGCAGACCAGGATGAAAAAACGACTCTACTGAAGTTAATATGTAAAATTATACCGTTAGAGTGAACCGGAAATGTAAAATAAGGCATGGAAATGGAAAAATTCGAGATTGAAGATTGAAAATAGACAAAAACTCAATGTAGAAAAGCGGAAATAGGAAACTTGAAGCAGTCGGAAACTTAATTAGGAAAACGGAAACACATTACAAGCTATGAGAAACTTATACGACACATTACATTACAGTTAATCGAGGGCAATAAATAGAAGACCCGATGTGGATATCCCAACAAAGAAAATCGTATATGGGATCAAAAATGCGTAGTTGTAGCGGTACCGTAATGGAGTAAAACAAGTTATCGATATCGGAAAAAGAGCTTTTTCAACAACATTGAAAAAACTACTAGTCTATATACTAGAATTTAATATGGGATACATTATTCTCTGATCACAAAAAAAGTCCAAACAAATTTTAAAAACTCTGTTTCTCAAACTCCCATAAGGAGACACTGTTTTTGTATAAAAAATATTTATGCAAAAATCATACCACTACAGAGTAAGTCAAAACATGCATACATATGACACATATATTCATATGCAATAATGGACATTTGATATGAATCAATTCCATCAAAAGCCAATGTACTTTTCACCCCAAAAATCAATAAAGTATCGATGGTCTTGAACCAGGAAGGCAGCAAAAACACCCACACACACACAAGATATAACGGCTTTGTACATGAGCGTAAGTATGTTTGTAACCCTATTTGGCCCCTTAGCCGCAGCCAAATTCATTTTGTATGAAAAATTTACAACTTTCAAAATTAAACACCTTTATACAAAATGCACCCAAAGTATATTTGACTTCATTGTCGCTCTCGGCACTTCTACATGAAAAAGAAGTACTTCACAGATGTACATACATATCCGGCATTATTTCCATAGACACATACAAATTTAATCTCCCTTTGATACTTCTGCTACATATCTTAGCGCCATTGACTGCCTGGACCCCGACATTGCATACAAAAAAGACGCGCGCAACCGTTAAGTAACTAATTCAAGGGGAAGCACCACAGAGATGCATGTGAAATAATGTATGTATGTTTGTTCATACACAATTCCGAAGTTAAGAAAAATTGACAAACAAGCCGAATGCAGTGTGGAGAAATTTGTGAAAGTGAAGAAATGTCATTAATGTTTTGTGGGGTGAAATTTATAAGACTCCTTAAAATCACTCAACGATTTGTGCTGAATTTGCTGAAGAAATCCACAACATAAACCCATTGGAAGAAAGGAGTGCATAGCGTAAATACCATGGTTTAATTTTTTTTAACTTTTTCTTTATTTAAACGTTTATTTTTTTTTCTTTAATTTATTTATTAAGTAGCTCCTTTCATTCAAACTTTTTTTTTTAATTTTTTTTTAATTTTTCTTTAATATAAATTTTTATTTATTTCAAACTTTCTCAATTTTTACTTCAATTTAAATTTTTTCTTCGATATTTTTTTAATTTGTTCTCTAATTAAATTTTTTTATAAAACAGACGAAGCGGTCACTCGCTATGACCAATTTTAGAAAATTTCCTTTTTGTATTGAGTTAAACAATTTTAACTGTGATGTTTTAATTCATCATAGAAAACCTGAACAGCCTAATATTTTTAATATGTTAACTCGTATTTCTCATCTAATAAGCGCACGAATTGTAATGCTATTCATCAAATATACGCCAAGTATCTGAATGTACTGCAAATGTATGTATATATGGATGTGCATTCATTTTTTGTTAATACCTTTTCTTTATTACAATGGAAATTAATTAAACAATTACAAAGTACATTTATGTGTATTTATCTTCCCCTTATCAAACATTACTTCCCATAGTTCTCTAAACCCACCATATCATAGTAAAAAAAAACATAACGCGTCTCCTCGCGCGTATCGGGCGGATATGGTGAAAATACAAAAACAATGTGTTGCTAGAAAACAACAAATAAATACTCACCATTTTAACACTGAATACGCGAGGAAGAACATAAAGCAAACATATGAAATGGCGAGAGGTATGCTTGTGTATGGTCTCAGTGTGTTGTAATTGTTGCTTTTACACTTTTTCTCTATGTATGTATAGAGCAATTTCACCACATTTATACTTATAAATACTTTGTAATAATACTTGTCTTAAATATAGCATATTAATTAAATAAATCAAAAAATCTTTTCATTATTCCGTATGGTCAACGTACATTTGCTAGCGCGCAAGAAACGTGCTTATAATCTTGAGAATTAGCTTCGATAACTTTTGTATGAAAACAGTGCGTGGCGCACGAGACGAGAACCCACAGCGCGTATGCCTCTGTTTTCTGTTGGACTGTGTTTGTGCACTTTGGCTCGAACTTGCTTGTATTGGTGGTTACACTGCTAGTCTGGCATAATTTTTTCACATCCCAACGATTTTAAGAACTAATGTTATACGAAAAAATTTTATTCAAATTGAATTTACACCAACCACGTCATTTAGTTTTTTAAATTTGAACAATATTTACGAAAAAAAAAATCGCGCACTATTCAGTCGTAACGTAGCATACACAATCACTTTGAAATTCCCGCAATGAATTTTTCATCTTCACCGTTTATTCTTTGCACTACCTTTAGCACCTACTACGCTTTAATATGAATTCGCCTTGGCACTGGCGCTGGTGCTGGTGTTCCACCGCGCTACCGTACCCGTGTCCGACCTTCTTTTTTTTACGGTTACACCGCTCTCGTCGCACAGCACTGGCCCACTTTCGTTTCTTTACACTTTTATTACAATCAACACTCATACAAGCACTTCACAATTGAAACACAAATGTTTTACAACTTTTTTTTTACTTTTAACTTAAGATTAGTTTATAAAAAGTTCCTTTTTAATGCACTAAATTGATTTCAAAAAACACATCCAATGAGACACGATGCTTTCGCAGCGAACGAATCGTTAAACCGAGCAGCGAACAACGAACTGACGTTATGCGGCAGCATTGCCAGAGTGAAAATTCAGAATTGTTGTTATTATTTTTCATATTCTTTTAAGCATCAATATTTGGATTTTGGAATAATGATTAAAAAAATACCTGTGAGGTGCTACGTCTTTCTGACATTTTCAAGCATTTTATGGAACCTTTCAGCAATTATTTTAATATAAAAAAAATAAAATTATATTAATGAAAAAACGGACAAATGTTTTGACAACAGCAAAGATATTCGTATACAGAGTTTGTTATTCGGATGAAATGTTTTTATTTAATAAAAAGAAGAAGAAGAAATAAAAAAAATTTATGTCAAAAGTTTAGACTTATTTTGGACAGCCATAGCAGCCAAACTTTAAAATTTTCTAAGCAATGTTGTCTTAAAATTTTGTGCTATTTTTCTGATTTTATAAAAATCTATTGTATTTTCACAATGCACCACTGTGTTCAAACACGCACTCTCTCACAATTTTGTTGTTCAACTGACAGCACTCTCTTTGTTACTTCAGAACAGCTGTCTAGCTATTTAACGTGCAATTTTATAAATAGTTTATCGGCCAAAAATTTTGCTGCAATTTATTTTAAATAAAATAAAATTTATAAACTAAAAAATGACTACACTACGGCCATTCACCTGCGATGATCTTTTCAAATTCAATAATGTGTAAGTAGCAGAAGATCGTGTATTTTGTTAGAGTTTTTAAAAAAATAGTTGACTGGTGCAGCTTCTAAAAATATTATAAATTTGTATATATATTCACAGCAATTTCGATCCATTAACTGAGACTTATGGTCTCTCGTTTTATACACAGTATTTGGCTAGATGGCCTGAGTATTTTCAGTTGGCAGAATCGCCGAGTGGTCAAATAATGGGTTACAGTGAGTTTATACATACATATGTACATACGACGCAAGCATTTAACAATATTTGTATTTTTTTATTTCATTAATTACAGTTATGGGTAAAGTAGAAGGTCATATGGAAAACTGGCATGGACACGTAACTGCATTGACTGTTTCACCTGATTACAGACGTCTCGGCTTGGCGGCACTGCTGATGAATTTCCTGGAGGATGTGTCGGAAAAGTATGTATACACACATTTTTTTTATATCTCTTAAATTAGAGTTTATTTATTTTTTAGGAAACGTGCGTACTTTGTTGATCTATTTGTGCGTAAGAGCAATCAGGTGGCTATCAATATGTACCAAAATCTAGGCTATATCATATATCGTACTATACTCGATTATTATGCGGGCGATCATGATGAAGACGCATATGGTAGGCTTCATTTACATATATGACATTATATATATATACATATGTCGAATGATAAATTTTTTATAGACATGCGAAAGGCGCTATCGCGTGATGTTGAGAAGAAATCTATAATACCATATACACATCCGGTACGGTTGGAAGATTTAGATACCAATTGAGTTTAAATTTGCATATTTCGTTGCTGCTTGCGTTCATAACATAAAAAGTCGTGCATTTCGTCAACATAATAACACATTATTACAAGCGAAAGTCGAACGAATAACTATTACATACATTTATACATGCTGCATACATACTTCTATGCAATAAAAAATTGTCAAAATACATTTTATGTACTTTTTGTAATGTGGCTAATTTGTTATTGGTGTTAATAGCTTTTGCGTTTCAGGCTGTATTGCACTAATCATTTGAAAGATTGTTTTACTGTAATATTTCTTAAATATTGAAATATTAAAAAATATTAATTTCATAATATGTAATGTAATTAATTATTGACAAAAAAGAAAAAAAAAACAAATGTTACATCTATAAAGTACACCAATCAATGAACGGTATAAACTCCGTGAACGTTGTTTGATACTTTCCAGGATATAAATTGTATCACACCCTAACATAATTTTATAACATAAGGTAAATTCACTGTTTGTACGTTTTTAACATGACTGGCTTTAATAGTGTTTCAATATTTCTTATATATAAGAAATTTGTAAATAAAATTTACTTATTTTTTCAGATAACAACACAGCAATTACATCAAGCAAATCAAATTCCTTCCCAAACAACCTGAACTTTAACTAAATTAAGCTACGTAAAATCCGAAATTATGATGTTAAAATTTTTTATTTAATTATTTTACTTTTGTGACAGAAATCATAGATAAAATCAGAAGAAATATATTTTCTTGCACTTTTTAACTTATCAAAAGCATTTTATACCTTTTATTTTATTAATGAACACATGTATCACGTATACGAAAAATATTTGACTTTATTGTTTGATAACAAAAAAAAAAATTCGAAAACAAGAATTATGTTAGAAGAACGACTAATCAAGGAAATTCAACAAAATGAATGTCTGTGGAATAAATACAATCCGGATTATAAAAATAAACGCAAGAAGGACATCTGCTGGACTAGTGTATCTAATAATGTTGGCGAAACTGGTGCGAAAATTGTTATAAAATATCTTATTTACATTTTTTTTCAAATTGATTTTTCTTTTCTTTTTTAACTTAAAATCAGTGGAGGTGTGTCGCAAACGGTGGAAGTCGTTAAGAGATCGTTTTATCATTGAATTAAGTGCACGCACCAGAGCCTGTGGCAATGGCAATTCGAAGAAGGATTGGTTATTTTTTGAGCAATTATTCTTTCTCACCACAAGCATGACACCGAAAGGGTGAAATCAATTTTATTCTATTATTTATGAATATTTATTAAACAAAAAATTCTTTACAAAGTAATTCAAATTTTCAGCTCGCAATCAGCGCCTCTACTCAACACTATGCAACAGTCTCAGCAGGCGAAATCGCACAATTCCGTCGATAAAAAAGATAAGCAAGTTGATGCTACAAAATTCACGGTAGCATTGGGTCCACCAGATGCTGAACGTTATGCCAATTTAGATGAAACATTTCGTACACTTGTTGAAAATTATTTGAATTTCGTAAATACATACAAGCAAACCGCCGATCCATTTCTCGCTGTTATACAAGAGTTCTTCGAGAAAGTGCCACAACACCGTCGTACAGCTTTCAAAATGGAAATTCTTAATTATACTTACAAAATGTATGCCGAGTTGAAGGATTAAATAATAAAAATGCATGATTTTTTTTTTGCAAATTTACAACGAAAGATATGAATTTTAAATTTTTTAGGAGTATCAAAAAAGCAAATATGGGGTAGGCATTCATTGTTGTTCTTGTAACTTCATAAGTATTCCCTAGATTATGTTTAAATTAAAGGTGTAAATAACCGTAGCAGGGATTTCAAACTCCACCAACCAACCCGGGGTAACAGCTCCCGATACTAAACATTCGTAACTACCTCCAATTTTAAGTGCATACAAGATAATGGCGGAGCATATACATACTAAGCGACTTTTGCTGAATTACTTGCGTTTCAAATGATCGTTTATTAAATATCCATATCCATATGTAAAACAAAATAAAAAATGCAAATCTCTCAACTAATTTGCTTATGAAAATTCGATATGTAGCTGAATTTTTTTATTCGGTTTGAATCAGCCATTTTGTATTTGTATTCGTATTTCCTTTTCCTTTTTTCAATCCGTTCATTATTCCCTTGTGTATTATGCATTACTATGTTTCCTATACCATTCATTCATTTTCATTTCTTTTAATCACTTCTTTACTTTGCTACTTCGAATGTCGCTTTGCTTTCTGCTTCGTAAGCAAAAACAAAGCAAAGCGCTGTTCCGCAGCTACACAAATATGCACATACATACATATATTCATCTGCAAAATGCAATCCATTAGCTATGTCAGTGATGTGAAATTTTAAAAATTGAGTTAAGCAAGAACAACGATAATTTGAAAGGAAATTCCAAAAAAACTCCAATGTACAACGCGCGTTGCTGCTTTTGAAGCATACAGCTGCGGCCACTTAAATGGAAACAGGTGGTCTTCCACATCTGCATAGCCAGTTAACGCTAGTATGTAGAATAGGAAATATGAAAAATGCACACATAATCACAGGAAAGTGCTTCGCTCTTTTTAATTCTGAAAAATTATTAAATATTTATATAATGCAAAAAAACAGAAAAGTGTGAAAAAATCAAATCTTTTCAATTTCTAAGATCAGGATTAAATTTTTTGACTGCTTCTGATAATAATATGTGCTCAAAATATTTTTTTTTATTTCACTTACGTTTTGTAAATAGAAGTCTGAAGGTTTATATTATTTGTACCATATTAGGCGAATATTATATTGATCATTGGTTTCGAAAGACTTACTCAAAACTTAAATGGTTTCCTAAATATAAATATTTGCTTTTTATTTTAAATGAGAATGAGTAGTGCGAATGACTCAAATTTCGTTTCATTCCTTAGCTGCTCAAATATTTGTCGAGCTTGTTATGGAAAGAAAAAAAAAACAATTTTATTTCTATTCTTTAGTATTTCATCGATTTTTACACTGTATTAAATATTTTCAAATTATAACGAACGAAAGAGTGAAATTAAAACATAGATAAATATATAAATAAATTTGAATAGTGAAAAAAAAATTAAAGCGAATTGAAATATTTTTATTTTTATAATATTTTTTTGTCAATGGTGACTTCCTGCAACTTTGGGTTACTACTTCGTCCGAGGATTATGTGGGTTGTATATTCAATTGTGATAACATAAGACTTGTACCCGCTGCCTGCTAACGTTTGTGCTTATCTTCTTGGTCACTGCTGTTACTGCCACTGTTTTGTTGTTGACTTGCTTATCGAAAAATGTACATCGTTCAACGTACATCGAGTTTTTCAAGCGAAGCGCAATGACGCCGCGAGGCAACAACAAAACGTTACAGATCCACACATGTACAGATACATTTGTACGTACATACATATGTATATGAGAGTTGGGTAGAGAAAACGAGCAGCTGCTGGTGCTCACAGGTAAGCGCTTTTGGTGTCGTTGTCGCTGGCATTCTACGCAAACAAACGAACTGTGTATTGTGTAGTTTTTGTACATTAAACACACGGTTGTATCGTTCATTGCTTGTTGTCGCACGTACACAACCTAACCAGCGTACAGCGAACAGTCAACCACTTTGGTCTCGCTGAGGGTCGTACGGGTTTTTTCCATGCGCTTTGTCGATTTTCGCCGTCGCTGGCAATACCCGATTACAATGAATTGTGTATATATTTTTATGATATTTGTATATTCGCTTATTCTTGAATACCTACAAAGTTATATGTAGATTTTTGAACGGGTATACACACTGTGCGACCATTTTATACACATTTAGCATACATATGTACATATATACATATGTACATACATACATATTTGCATACTCACATTGTTGTGCTCATTGTAGCTTCTCCGAATTGAAAGGTTTCGTCAGCGAATACACATTTTATGTGAATTCATTGGAAGTTGGAAAAAAATTGAGTAGGAAAAAGGTCGAAACGGTCACTGTGCAGTGCACGGTTCACTAGCCGTTCCCATTTGTTTGTGGAATGTCTCAACCGCGCATTGCAACCCTGAATCGAGATAGCTGCAAATTTTGCGGCGAATGGCCGACGAACACAGCCGAATCAAGTATAGCAAGCGATTACAAACGAACTTCGCACAAATGGATGCGCTTGGTTGCCGTGAAGTCAAATAAGTACAAATAGCCAGCGAATGTTGCCAGATAACTGTAATGAAAATGTCCAAAGTTATTTTTAATTAAGCCTAAAATGAAGCGCTATGCGAAACCCGGCTCTTTTTCCACAAATTCGTCCCTACATTCTGCCTTTTTTGCTGTTTTTAATTAAACATAAGGCGGGACTCTTTATGAAGTGGAAAGGTACCTAATCTATGTAAAATAGCAGAGTTTATAGGACAGTTCGAGCCTTAAGATCCATATATTTCATCAAATGCAAAGCAAATCTAGTCGATCGTTGTATATTTTAGAAGTTCCTGCCTATACATACATACATACATATGTATGTATTCTCATTAACGTAACATTTTGCAAAGCATTTGTATGGCATCATTAATTTGTAACGCAAGAGGCAAACTGGCAGGCAAACGAAACGCGAACGGAAAAATATTCATCGGTCAGGCAACAACGTCGTCGACAGCGACTAGTTTAGGTAAACTCAACTCAAATCACAACCGCACAGCAACGCCAACCAAAGACTACCCAACCAGCCGAGCGCACGGCACACAGCACATAGCGATTAGTCCAACACAGGCACACATACCTACGTACGGAATACAGAAGGAAGGCGCAGTTGTCGCTGAAATAAAAGAAAAGCGAAACGACAACGAAGCGAACCACAAAGAGGAGATGAAGATAAAACGAGAAAAAGAATTCTGTCGATTTTTATTCGTCGCTCGCGTAGACTGCGAAACTTGAAAGTGAATTGAAAATAATTTTTACTGTCGGTGGCGTAAAGGAGGCGATTTTTGAAGATAAAGTATAGTTTTTCAGGCGCAAAGAAGCCATTATTGACGAATTTTCGAATTGAGGTGAGTGTAGAATCGTGTTTTCGAAGGAAGAGGTACAAAATGGAAATTCCAAATTAAATTAATGGTTTTAATATGAAGTAAAGAAAGTTGGCGTGTGTTTTTAAATTAGTTATAAGGAACAGTGTTTTTTGAAATTGGATTTTGTAATATTGCAACAAATATAGGACGATTTATAAAAGCAAATAAGCCTTGGTATAAAGTAGAGCTGTAAATTGAAGGTGCTATATATGTACACATACGTACATCCATATATAACTTTGTAGAAAGCAAGCAAAGCGGATGGTAGTTTTATTTCAATTCTTTTAGTTTTAAAAAATATAGTTTGTTAAAAATTTAATGGATAAGTGTATTTCTGAAGGATTCGTCAGTGGCTATGGAAAAATATAAGAATGACCAACATACGTTTATCTTCCCTATAGCCATTACGACTCATCCACCACCACCATTATCATTACAATTACTACCACAGTTGCGTGTGGTACCAACACCAATACCAGCAACAAGCAACCACCAGTGCAACCACTGTTTTGCTAACCAACCAACATTGCCATCGATCGATCCATCTGCCAGCAACAGAAATAGCAACGGGGGCACATACGGACATATATTTATCACAATAGTGTAGTACCTACATCCATAAGTTTTAGAAACGTCAACGTGATCGCTACAATACATAACAGAGCAGCAGCAGCTGTATACAATATGACAAGCAACAAGGACACTGCGTCGTTCTTTGAGAATGGTACAACGCATCAATTTGAATACTGTTACAAACTTTATCCCCAAGTGCTGAAGCTAAAGGCGGAGAAGCGCAATAAAAAGCCACAAGAGCTTATACGTTTGGATGAATGGTATCAGAATGAATTGCCAAAATTGATAAAGGCACGAGGGAAGGATGCACACATGGTCTATGATGAACTGGTACAGACCATGAAGTGGAAACAGTCACGCGGTAAATTTTATCCACAGCTTTCGTACTTGGTAAAGGTAAATACACCGCGTGCTGTAATGCAGGAGACGAAGAAAGCTTTCCGTAAACTGCCCAATCTAGAACAGGCCATAACAGCGTTGTCAAATTTGAAAGGAGTTGGCACGACTATGGCTTCGGCGCTGCTAGCGGCTGCAGCACCCGATTCAGCACCATTTATGGCAGATGAGTGCCTAATGGCCATTCCAGGTGGGTAAAAATAAGAAATACTTACATATACGTTAATGCAATAATGTCTAAGCATTTGTACTTTAGATTAAGAATATACATACTTATTGCAATTATGTTTAAATTAAAGTATGCATAATAAAAAAATGTATATATGTAAAAGCAAAATAATTAATTAATATTAATATTAATAATAATTTTTCTCCTTTACAGAAATCGAGGGTATTGATTATACCACCAAAGAGTACCTCAATTTTGTGCAACACATACAAACCACAGTGGCACGTCTAAATACGGAGGCTGGCGGCGAGACGCCACATTGGTCGCCACATCGCGTTGAGTTGGCACTATGGGCACACTATGTTGCCAATGATTTGAGTCCGGAACTTTTGGATGAAATGCCTGGACCAGGCGCAGGTGGTGGCGCAAATACCAATGGCAGTACAGTAAAGGCAGCAGCACCAGTGGCTAAAGTGCTCGGCGGTGAAGGTGAAGACACTAATGATGAAGAGAGTTTAGGAGCAGGTGTGTGAATTAAGCATATTTTCTTTAATTATTTGTATTATTTATTAACATAAAACATTTTTTTTCAGCTGATAATGATCACAACAACACAACAGCTATTGTAACAGCGCCAACTGCTCTACAAGATGGCGATTCCAATTTTGTTTCAAACGATTCCACCTCACAAGAGCCCATCATCGATGAGAATACCACACAGACCACAGCTACAACCTCAACCGACGACGGCGAAGTTGGCACGCCGCTTGCATCTGACTCGGAGAGCAATTTGGAGGCACCCGAAAAGGCTAAACTTAAACATAATAATAGTAACAGTAGCATAATTGCAAATATTAATAGTAATAGCGATATTATTGGCATTGCACACAGTGTTGTGGGCGATAACAGCAACAACTGCCGGCAGAAAGCTGTAGATGATGCATTAGTTGGCAATAGCAATGGCAATGGTAATGGTACTTTAGTGTCTTCGGGCGCACCGATCAGTGATGGCGAGAACAGTAGTTGCATACGTTCTACTGGTAACGAAGAGGCCAGCGAGGAGGACGACGTTGACGCTGAGGACGAGAGCAGTAATAGCAACAGTCGTCACATCGGTCAGAGTCACAAGTCAATAACACCACTGTTTGGCAGTAATTTGAACGACTCTACAAATTGCACCAATACCAATGTCAGCGATTCCAACAACGACTCGACGCTTAGCAGCGGTGCTGCTGGTATTGTGTCGCAAAAACGTGCACTGCACTGTGCTGATGTCGGTAGCGAAGTCGTTGACGGTATTTTAATGGCAGATGAGGCCGACAGTCAGCCTGAGCCGAAGAAAATACGAGGTGAATAAATTTGCGTACGCATAAACAATAATGCGTGTGGACTAGAGGGGATTAGCGGTTTAATTAAGCCTAATTATTAATAAAGAAAATATTTAGAATATAGTGAGCAAACGCGCTGCCTGCCGCTTGGCAGGTGAAAAGACATACATACCTAATAATAAGATAGCCGCCACCTGACAAAAGATTGGCGTGGCGTGGCGTGGCGTGGCGAAGAGAAAAGGCTGGACGATAGAGCGTGTGTTTGTATTGCAGGATCACATTAATACTTTAGTTTTAAGTACAATAAACAATTTTTACGGTTAACACCTTAACAAAACAACAAAAAATAGAACACAAATGTAACGTAACAAGCAAGAAAATGGAAAAAAGCGTACGAAAAAATACAAAAGAATGCAAAATTTCGTTTGGAAAGTGTTTGCCAAGTATTTAAAAAAACAAAAAAAAAGGAATCGTTTTGGCGATTTTCAAAAATCACCAAATGAGAAAATGCTGTCATGCATCAGTAACAAATGCCTTGAAATCACACAGAAATACACATCCACACGCGCACAGCGCACAGTTGTCCAAGTACTTACTTTACGTCTATACATATGAATGTACAGTGGGCGCTTACTTGCGGCTGCTGCTGCTGTGCAATTTGCATTTTACTACGATTTTTATGCACTTTTCACAAAACAATTGCTTATTTACTCTTAATGTTTTTATTTACGTTTAATTAAATTTTTTTATTATTCGTAATTCATTTTTCGTAACACTACATTTTCAGCTTACAAGGAAAATCTTCAAAATTAGCATTTTCCTATAAAAAAAAAGAGAATATATACATATGTATGTTAGTTTAGTTTAATAATATTTTAATGTAGTTCATCATCAAAGCATATTTATTAATGCATTTTTTCCACAACCAAACAAATGTATGAAAAAAAAAATAACAGCAAGCATTACGTACATTAATTTTTTATTTTTTTTTTTTTTTTGAAATTACTGTAAAACGAAAAAATAAGCAAACATATACAATACAAAACCAAAATATATTGATATGTAATCAAAGTTGATGCGAAATGTGCGTAAATATGGCAAAAAAGTATAACGATAAAATTATTGAGCGAAAACGGAGAAAAAAAAAACAAAAATTCATAAAGCGAAATTATATATATAAAATGATTAAAATAATACAAAAACATACAGTAAGTAATGCAAATTATTTATAATTAATTAGTAATGTAATGTATACTATACTTACTTAAAATCAAATTATAAAGCCACACAATGCATATACATACATATTTACACCAACAAAGGTTTAAACATTTTAACAACACGCATCCATACACTTGCAAAACATTATAATTTTACAACAAAATAAACAGTGATAAAAAAACTACGCAAATTGTTATAATTTCAATAAAGCAGAGGCAGGGTAATTATAATTATTGAATCGCTTATAATTTTAATTTTTAAATTATATAATTTTTTCGTCGATTTTTTTTTTAATAAAAAATTGACCGAATAAGCATTAACGAAAGAAATGAATGTTTAATAGTTTTGCGTCCTTCACCAAATGCACACATGCACCCACATGACACTCTAACATTCTTAATTTTTAATTATTTAAACTGTTTAAAAAGTTCATTAACAATAAACAAATAAAATAATAGACGAATACGCAAAGTGATCAATAAATTCCACTACTACCTTAAATAGAAAGCAAAATATATGAAAACCAATTTGAAAATTTTTACAATAGCGCATTTACAACAATACATACATACATAATTATTATATTATATAGAAAGCAAAAAAAAGCGAAAAAAACTTAAAAAAAAACAATATTACATATACAGAAATCTGTAAAAAAAAATATTTTAGGTACACAAAATGACATGCATAGTTATAAAAAGAGAATATTAAATAAAAGAACATATGTTAACGAAAGCAAGCAAAGAAAATTAAAAAAAAAATATAAACATACAGAAAATTTAAAAGTATAAATTGTACTTAGGTAATAAAATTTTTGTAGCAAAAAAGAAAAAAAATCAAATAATCCATAAAGAAAATGCAGCCGCAAAATTGTAGTATTAAATTGCGTAAAACCTGGCTTATACACACATACATATTTAAAATACAAGTTTGATATGTACGTACGCATATATGTATGTATGTATGTATGTATGTACGTATTTGTGTACATATGTACATACATACATACATACTATACGAGCTAATGGCAGGTGAGTATACAATTTTTTCATGCACGACGTTGTGGGCACTCAATAAAAGGATACGAGGTTGCATATAAAAATGCAATTAAAATTATATACATACATATATAAACAGCAAAGGCATGTTTACAACAAAAAAGTAATAATAAAAATAATAATAATGATAATAAAAAACCAAGTTTTTTGGGCTTTTTAATTCTAGCTTGTCTTAGAACTTTTATACCATTAACCATATTTTTAACTCCATTACTTTATTTTGCAATTTTGAATAGGTTTTGAAGTTGGTTTTACTAAGGTAGTTGCATATAAAAAACGGTTTCGATTACTAAGACTTTCCAATAGTCTTCCAGTTGCGTACTCCGCTCAAAAAAAAAAAACACAAAAAATAAAATGTTTGCCTTTACGCAGGTTTCACTTGCAAATGAAATAGTAAGTCATTTCATACTTTCCTTTAATTTTCATAAAAAATGGCAAAATCAAACTATTACTTCATTTGCTTGCATTTTATTTTACTTACTTTCTATGAACCTAACCTCGAAATATGGCGTGATAAGTAAAACTCACTTGTAATCCGCAAAATCTTTCTGATATTCAAATCTATTTTGTTCTGTGTACACTTACATATGTAAATTCAATAGAGAAAAGTTTTTAAATTGTTTTTGCAAACGTTGGTGGCGCGCTAGTTCTTCACCGGATATAGTTGGCCGGCATGCCGGTACACCGCCTACCCTTTTATGTATGTATTTTTTCCACAACAAAATGGGAACTATAACTACCATTTTCTTTAATATGTATACGAAGTATGTACACATGTGAATATAATTAATTTTGTGTATTTTCTGTGCTAATTTCCTCCATTTGCAAATCGGAAACTCGTCCATTACACTCCATCATTTTGCGATCACTCGTTATTTTCATTACTCGTTATACCAGTTTGGCAACAAAAGCTAAGCGAACACATTTATGTACCTATGCACATTGATGACTTTTCAGGGTGGCAATGCATTCGCAAACTTCCGCTCTAAAGCACAGTGTGTTGAAAGCACCCAGAAAGAGACACAGAAAATACGTTGAAAATTTCATATTTGTATACAGCATGAAGTAAAACGATGAAAATACATACATATGTATGTGTGTATCTCTGAGTATGTACATCCATATGAATATGTATACAGTCGCATACATAAAAATGTAACCATTTCAAAATGGCCAAATGCACGACAAGCGATCGGCTGCCTAATCCGAAACGAATGGTGTGCATAACAACTGAGGAAAGACAGCGATTGTATGTACCTATGTTTATACATACATATGTGTTTATATGAGTTAGCACATTTACTGTAGCCGGCAAAACACAACAAAATACATACGGCTGGGACAGCTGCAGTGCTGGAGCGGAGCTGAACAGCATGGAGAGGTTTGGTGGCAGGTATGCTGCTTTATCGCTAGCTGTTGCCACATCAGACTCCGAGCAGCTCTGTCTGTCTAGTTTTATACGCTTTGCAAGCTGCTTGCGTGTATCCGGCAACGCTGCACTTTGTTGTTGTTTACATTCAATTCGTGTGCGAGTTTTGTGTCGTAGGTAGATATGTGTGTATGTGCCGCCTCTGGCCAAATGAATACAAATGTATGTATACATATACCAACAGAAGATGCAAAAAAATGCTATGAATTAAAGGCAAGTGACAAATCGTGATAAAGCATATGGCATGAAGGAGGCCAAACATGAAACTACCCCCGGCTTTTTTCCATTTCCTTTTGGCCCTAATTTATTTTGTTTTTGTTGTTATCGTGTGTACGGGCAGAGCTGGCGCGATGGGCGAATACATATGTACATACATAAAAGTATACAGCCATACACAAGTAAGTATATCCATTTGTGTTTCTACTGTGTAACCCTGTTTGTTTGAATATCGGAAGCTTACACATACATACTTACATATGCATTTGTTAAGTAGGAAGGAAATCCGGTCTACGATTAGTTACGTGCAAAAGTACCCTCTAGGGCCATGACAGGTGCGTTAACGGCACTGTTACTGTAGTGAGATTAAGCGTTGTTGTTGTTGTGCTTAATCATCAAAAACAGCGAAAATAATCAGTGAGTATATGGCGGCCGCAGTAGCGGTTACAATCCAACATTCAAATGTTACTGAAAATTAATTTAAATAAAAAATTATATTGAATTTTCTAGTTGCGGTCGCTCCTCGACATGAAATGTCAACTCACCCGATTGTACTTCCAAGCTTTCCATCAGTCGTTCGAAGGCGGCTTAGTATAAATCGTAGGTCCCTCTAAATGTAGGAAAAACATCAAGATGAAAAACCACAATTTTGTGAAGGAGCTCGGCCGAAGATCGTTTCAGCGTTTAGAATTTTCTACTTTAGGGCAAAGATTTCAGGCATTTTTCTGTTTGCGTCGTAAGTTACTTTGGTTGAACTTTTAAAAGTTTTCACAATTTTAAAGGTTATGGTCTACTGTAAGGTAATTATCGTTATGTGAAACAATGAAATGAAAAAGGGTTTGTTTTTAGGTCCCAATTTAAAACATTTTCGTTGTGTGAAATGATGAAATGAGAAAGTTTTCACAATAAAGTCTTGTTTTCAGGTTTTCCATATATTTATTTAAGATGAACATTAAACGAAGAAATACAAAAAACGGTTAAATTATTTCACTTTGAAAAAAAATTGTTTGCTCTCAGGTTTTCACTACACCTTAGCTGAGATGAACAATATTTTTTTTATTTCACTTATATCAATGTGCCAATCCTCGTTTTTTTTTTTTAAAATCAAGTTTTTTCTCAACGAAAATGAAAAGTTTTTATTTTCATATGAAAGTAAAGGTTTTTTCACAATGAAAATAAAAAAATTCAAGTTTTCATTGTAAGTTCATTCAATTGATGTAAATATGCTAGAAAACAAATAAATTCTTCTGGAACTCAGTTTTCGTTCTGTGAAAAAGGGAAAAGTTTTTTCACAAAGGGAAAAGTTTTTTCACAAAGGGAAAAGTTTTTTCACAATAAAATTGAAAGACTCCGTTTTCAGAATTTCCTTATATTATATATGTGCATTTATAAAGACTTCTCAATGAAAAAAAAAAATTGTTTTTTTTTTTTTTTCAAATTTTTATTGCAATTCAAGCGATCACAGTGAAAAGTCGGCCTCCATAGGCGAGTATGGGCTGGTAAAGGTGAAAAGTGGTTGAAAGCCGAAACGCTTTCAATACGAACACAATATTCGAATTTACATTTTCTTCACTTACAGAATTTTAAGTAGTTTATTTTGCCTTAGGGGTTCACTTGAATCATTTTACTCTTACATCTGGTTCTTTTCTCTGCTTGCTGTCACGGAAAACTCTTTATTTGAAAAACTTTCCATTTCAGCAATTTTATCCAAAATCCCAAGTTTTTGACCTCCAAATTTGAGCTGGCAGCACTGCGTTTGAGTGGAATTCAATTGCCAAAGTCAGAATGCGCTCGTCCACACTGCTAAATAAACGCTTTGTGCCAGCTAGCAATTTAGTGAATAAAGCGGGTCGCTCAAGTGAGAATCTATCTTCAATGAGTGCTGCGCGAAACGTACGGCAGAGTGGACATACAAACACATACACACGTACACATATATAAATGTATTTAGAAAATACAATTTTTTGGCATTAAATAAAATTACAATTGCAGCAGCAGCAGCAGCAGCAGGAGCAAAAGCTTTGCAATAAATAAATAAAACGCAAATTAAACTAGAAATTAATGTAAGCAACACGAAATGTTAAGAAGAAATCGCATAAAACGCCATTGATTAAAGTGATGAATTAAAGTGTATAATGAATATGAGGATTTTCACAAATTTGCTACATAACTAACAAAAGCATGTACATACATATGTTATGTAGTATGTATATACTAGGCGCAGATGTACATAAATGAAATCGAAATTCTTTCGTGTCAGCAGTTTAGGAGAAAACCACATATTAAAATGAAATTAATAATAAATTCAAGCGAGAGTCAAAAGCCGAAAAGTTCTTTTTTTTTCGGTAAAAAGAATAAAGAATTCACTTTACGTCGCGCGGCTGCTTTTACCTCAGCGCTCACTCACCTAACGATTAGCTGCTGATGGTAGGCTGTCGGGCTTAGCATAAACTGAAAATACATACAAACATACATGCATATAAACAAATGTGTTTATGAATGTCATACATACATATACCTTCCGTACACCAGCTGCTACTAATGGAGCGCTCACAAAAAAAAAAAAATTAAATAAAAATAAAATACTCAGCGCGCAGCTGTCGCTCTGACGCTCTCACACTCTCTCTCTCTCTCAGTTTATACACAGTTTGTAGTCACTCATTGGTGCTCAGTTGGAAATGAGTGGTTTTCATTACTTAGGACAGTGGGCATTTATTTACAATTTTTATTTGATTTGTTTTTTTTCATATTTTTCTACATACATATGTATGTATGCATGTATGTGAACTTGTCATATGTACGTGTGTGTGTCACACTCGCTGGTCTAATGATGCGCGGCATAAATAAATATTGTAAATACTTTAATTTGTTGCTGCGGTTGTGTATTCAGTTGAAATCTGGTATGGAAAAGATTAAAATTTGATTGTGGCAATAAAGTATGAATTGTGGGGCGGACAATGCCAGGCAAAAAAAAAAAAAAAAAAAAAAAAAAAAAAAATGAAAAGAAGAAAATAAAGTGAAATAAAATAGAAATTAAAAATGACAAAATTAGAAAATGTGAAATTATATAAAAAGCTTTTAAACGCAGCAAAAGGCATGCGTTGTCAGTTTGAGCGTACAAAAAAAAAAAAACTATAATGCCGAAAAAATAAAGAGCAATTAATGCAATATATCCAAAAAAAATATATCAACAAAAAAAGATAACGAAATAAATGTATAAAATAAATTAATTAACTAAAATGCAGAAAATGCAATAAAATATAAATAAACCTTAAACTGTTATAGCGCTATATCTTAGTAAACAAATAATAAGATACAGAAATTAAAAAATAAAATTATAATTAAAAACAAAAAAAATAATAATAAAGCCTTTAAATGCATTAAATTTTTTGTTGTGCATTTCATTGCTTTTGTGAAAAATATTATTAAAATGATGGTACATAAAAAGTAAAAAGGTAAATAAAAATTATAATGGATTAAAAATTTTTACAAAATACATGAAGTAAAAGGATTTAAGGTGTTTGATATGAGCCATATAAATAGATATAAAAAAATAACGAGTAAAACTTAAAAAAAAAAAAAAAAAATAAAACAAAAATTATAAAAAAATTAAAAGAAAAACACATATTTAAAATATTATTAGATTTAAAAATTTAGAAAAGTGGAAAAAAATTATTAAAACATTTAAAATATTTTTTAAATAATTTCTATTTAAAAAAAAAATTAATAAAATACGCGAAATGAAAAATATTTCATACATGCGACATGTGACATAGAGTAAAAAACAAAAATAACAAATGTACAAGCAACAGAAAGCAGTGAAGTGATATAAACGTGCATTAAAAACTCAGCAAATACAGTTTGTTCATATACATTTATAAATACAAAAAAAAAACTAGAGCATGAATAGTAATTTGACGACTAAAATTGTAAAAAAAAAACAAAAACGAAGCCTAATTAAATTAATAAAAATAAAAAAAAAACATTTTGTTTTTTTACAAAACCTAAACAATAGTCAATTACACTTGACTAAATAAAACGTATATGAATTTAAAATAAAATTCCATGCATGTGGCATTCGCAATATTTACATTATTCCGACTTAAATTGTTTTTTTTTTTTTTTTAATTTCTTTTACATTATTCTTAAATTGAAATATAGTGTTGCTACGTCTCTAAGTAAACATCTTTGTACGCTCTACAAGTATGTATATTACGTGGGTTATATACAGAGTAGACATACATATGCATATATACATATGTATATAGTACATAGATGGCATGTAAAAATAACACGATAAAGTGTGATTACTCGTGAGTCTAGTATGTATTTACATACGTACTCGTATGTATGTACGTATGTACATATATGCATATGTCACACTTAAAGGCGTGCTACTTTACTTAGTACGATTACATACATATGTATTTTGTTATAATCCATAATTCGCCAGAAATGTGTGATTAAAGTGCAAAAAAATATATGTATATACATATATATATATATATATGTATGTATGTTTATAAACAAATTCAGCGATTGGAGAAAGCAAAAAAACTGTGAAAATAAAGAAGAAGTGAAACAGTAAAATACATAAAGACTTTGTCATGATAAAAATGAAGCATACATATGTACATACATACATACGTACGTATGTATATGTAAATATGTTTGTTGTTTGACAGGCACATGTGCATCTACATATACATACATTCATATGTCTACATAAATAAGTACTAACACACACTGCGAGTTAAATATATTGTATGTATGTAATTTTCCTTTAGGGTCATAAAGTGAATTGTAAAAGTCGATTTCATTAGCTCATCACCATCAAATGTCAACTGCCATATAATTAATTAATTAATTTGAATTAACTACTCTACGATATAAAAACGCTAAGCATTAATGGAAGTGTAGTTAATTTTTACATAAATTAAAAGTTGACCGGAAGTGGAAAAATTCAAAAGAAAAAAAAGTGAATTAAAAAAAAGCAATAATAATAACAATAATCATTATAATGTCAAAATATTTATATTAGCTAGATACCATTATTTTTGCATTAAATTGTAGGCATTACCTACCATTACCGTTAGAATTATACGATTTATGCCAAATATGCCTCATTTTGTCCGATAACTTTTTGCCATTTTAAAAATAAAACCATTCTGCATCATTCATAGAAAACTTTGTCTCTAATGGCTCGATATTGGGACAATCAACTTTCATAGACTTCTCTTGAGGAAAATTCATAACCAGCCAAATCATTCGGCGTAGACAGAAACAGATGGTAATCACTTTGTGCCAGGTCCGGACTATAAGATGGATACCTTATAGCCTCCCAAGCAAGCTCTCGGAGCTTCTGGCGAGTCACTATCAATGTGTGTGGTCTGGCGTTGTACCGATGAAACACAATTCCTCTCCTGTTGGCCAAAACTGTGCGATTTCGGGTGATTGTTGCCTTCAGACGCCCCAATTGCTGACAGCACAAGGTCTGAATTAAGAGTTTGGTCGTAGGGTAGCAGTTCACAGTGGATAATTCCGCAGCCGATCCCACCAAACAAACAACAAAATCTTCCTAGTCGTCAATCGTGGTTTGGAGACCAATCCAGAATGAGCTCACAGGCCTTCGAACACGACCGATTCGTTTGACGTTGCCGTAAATGATCCACTTTTCAATATGAGTCACCTTTATCCATTTTGCTGGTGGTGTCTAGCTTTGACATGTTACTTGACTTGTTACTTGACCTAATTTATACATACTTAGACCTTGTAACCGCTTCCAAACGTCCGATGGATTTTTTTGAGGAGCTTTTATTTAATGTCAAAAATTCACATTCGGAGAGCTTCACATTCCCTGCCGATGAGCGACCACAATTAGAAGAATTAATTTGCTATAATTTTCGATGCCGGTCAGACCAGTACTGGAACCCTAGCTTTCCAAATGGTAATACGCACTGTCAATCACTCGGTTATTGGGACCGTAAAACATAGACTTACACCTGAGCATCACAGAAGACTGCCGAAAAAGTTCTAAGGTTTTGTAAGGTGAGGCATCATGTGATAATATTGCCATCATCGGCCTCAACAACCGCAGGATTAGTCTTGTTTGCTTTAGAAAACGAAGCGAATGGGTCTTAGCTAGGACTGGACGCTTATCTTTTAGGCGTCTCGTGGAAATCAATGTTGATAATCGTAATAATTAATGTTGTAGACGATTTCCATCTATCTTGAAAGCAGTATTAACACCAACAACAATGTCAGCATCGCAAACCAACGTACACAGAATGACTCTTGTCAAAATGTGCTAGACAATTACAAAAGTAAAGTTCTCTCTCGACGTTCAAAAACCAAACTATAAAAGCCGCTCCATATTTCCTTCCTGTCGCAAGAGGTTAAAGCGTCCGATGAGAAGGTTTTAGAAGCGGAAGGTTTTGCAGAAGATTTTTGGCACTTTGTGTGCTAGCGACGGCAAATATTGTAGACGATGTAAGGAGGCTGTCAAGGGTGAAGAAGCAGTGGCTACGTTTGGATGGATGGATGGATGAAAACACTCTAGCCTTGAAAGCTTCCGTTACTGTGTACATTTGTGGAAGAAACTAGGCTACATTCCATAAAAAAGATCAAGTGGTGAAGGTCCTTTGACTTGGTGGATCCGGTTGTCATTGAAATTTCGAAAAAATTGCTCAAAATTTTCGAATATAACCACAAAAATTTATTGTGAACGAATATTGCGTTGAAAAGGTATTGAAAGCAAAGGTCATTAAAAAAATGTACAAAAATATAAAATTTTTCTAGAAAAACGGAGAACACCGATAACAGTGAACGGAGCAGAGCTCGATCGAAATGTGAACGGAAAGGATTGTAAAACTCCGTGGGCTATGGGAAAATAGCCAGGAAATATTTGCATATCTTTTTATTGGCAAATAAACTACCGACGAAATCGTTACGACCTCGTGAATACAACACTAGAAATCGACTATTGTGAATGAATAATGAGTTGAAGACGAAGAAGATCAAGATAAACTTGACTATTGTGAATGAATAATGAGTTGAAGACGAAGAAGATCAAGACAAACGTGACTTTAAACATTTTAACAAGAACAGAAGTGGAATAGACAATCTTTTAAATGAAATCAGTGGCAAAAAAATGAAGGAAAACCCTTGTAGAGGAGTAGACAGAACAAAAGGGATAGGCATTGATAGAAATGGAATGAAATTATTAAGTTTTTTCTTTAATTGGGAAATTTTCTGGCTTTGGTTTTGCTGTAGCCAATAGAGCACACTGCTGAAGTGACGTCAAAGTTTTCAAATGAAATTAAAATTTTGATTTTTACATAAATATTTTTATGAAGTTTTTAATTTCTTTTACATTTATTTATATAAATTTTCATTTACAGAACTTTTACTACCTCTCTCCATGGATCGAATGAGTTACGCGAATAGTGACAAATGGCGCAGCTGTTGTTAGTGTGGTGGCAACCGTTATTTTTCTAAACTACGACGCGCACGCAAACACAAATCTTTACATATACTGTAAAACAACAAAATTTCGAAACGCCTCAAAACTATATCGGAACAATTAAGTCTCTATCAATCAATTTCATCAAACGTAAAAATTCTTAAAAATTCCAAACAAATGTCCTTACTTCGTCCATTTTTCGGTTCAACATCAAATTCATGGATGCGTGCGCTCTTCCTCTTCGTAGTCACGTGGGCATTGTTCATCTACGTGTTTTTCATTAAATTACATAACACACAACCGAATGCGGATGCGGATACGATAACGGCGAAACGTATAAATCAAGCCTTGCAACTGCTCGAATACTCAAAGCAACGCAATGAGGAGTTACGTCAGATGATCGAGAAGCTTTCGAGGTGAGTAAAATGGGTGGGAAGTAAGAGAAGGGAGCTTGCGAGGGTGGATACTGGGATCTAAGCTCTAAAGCAAAGTTTCGGGTGGAAATCTGGTATCAAGTTTTGGGTTGTTTTTTTTTTTTTTGCGAAAGAAGCAAGTTTTTCGATCTCTCGGCTCGAATTGTAGATTTGAAATGTTGCGTCTGTTTTTATTATCTGTTTGAGATTTCTCTCCCTTGCGATAAGATTGTTTAAACCTGCCAAAAGTATGGAGTATGGAGTATGCCATCAGTTGTAGTTTGTAAGAATCTCCACAAAGAGATCCGTGCAAATTTTCTACTATATTTGTTTACAATAGACCACTTTTTACCGGAAGATCTAAAAATTCGCTTTGAAAGCTACGAGATATTTTGATAGCTCGTTCTTCGATGATCTGTTTAACCTAACTTATCCTATGCTTGTTGTTCTAGTCAGTAAGTTTTCTATACCCTGCAATCACAAAGATTATTTGAAACTTTTTCTAACAACACAGACGTATGCTCTCCCCGAAAGACCACCTAATACGGATGCACCACTGTTAGATCTTTGGTCAAATCGGAATTGAGTCACCGAAAGCTCCTGAAAAGCCTATGAAAGCCAAAAAGGCTTTATTTTCATTCAAATATCTTGGTTCTAAGGCTTTCAAAAAGCGAAACCAGAGCTACAAAGCATTTTATGAGCCCTTTGACCTGGTTGGAGAGTAAGCTCAAGTGCGCAAAACCACACGTCGTCATTTCATTAAGACTGAAAAGCCGCTCTACGTCTTTCCGCAGTTACTTCAAAGACATTTCGGTTGTGATTAAGTGCCCATCGGATAAAGTAGACCACACACTTTGCCAGCTTGACACACGTTTCCTTCACACTATGAAACTGTCTTACCAGCTTACGCTGGCTGCAGCTCATCCAGTCGCACGCGTCCATTGTGTGTGCGCTTTAAGTAGACTACTGCGAGCCCACCTCACTGAACTGCGTGCCGCACACAATGCACTTCCGTAAATGCAATGCGCGCATAAAGATTCAAGTCGCCCACTCCACGCAACGTGTTGTGGGGATTGTGGTAGCTCAGCCCCCATTGTCATTTTGGTGGCGCAGAAGTGTAATCAACGGCTCGTGTGCTATGTTTGCAAGCGAAAGACTGCAGCTTACGGGCGATCAAAGTGTATGTGTGTGTGTGTGTGTGGCTGTGAATAAAATGCGCGTTGATTAATGCGCTGAAGCGTAACGGTTTTTAAATGCCTACAATGGCTAGGTAATTGCGCCCTGACACAGTTGTATAGAACTTACGTACCGTTAAGTGGTGATTAGTAAATTTTAATGCTCAATCATATACCGTTACTAATTTTCAAACTACTGCTTTCTTTCGCCCTCCACACAGCGACCAAATCGACAAGCAATCGGCACAACGTCTAATCGAAAAGCTCGAGTTTAACCTGCAAAACTCCATAAATATACAGAATCAAGATGCCGCCTTGGCTGATTTTATGGGCGCCGGCGATGGCGATAGCGGCGCGGAGCCTTACGGTATGGGTGGCGGTGGTGGCATGCCTGTAGCGAATGCTCTGGGGTATGGCGCTGCTGGTGGCGCACATGAGCCGAGCTTGGAATATGAGCTGCTTAGACGCCGCGTACAGTCTAATGTAGGCGAGCTTTGGAACTACTTTAGCAGCGAGCTGGGTAAGCTGAGGAAGCGTGTTGCGCCTACACAAGCCGAGTTGGCGCAAGATATTAATGAGGTATTGCAGCTAGGTGCCGAGCATAAGCGTTCGCTGTTGAATGACATCGATCGGCTGCGACAGGTGGACGGCTATGAGGCGTGGCGTCACCGTGAAGCGCGCGATTTGAGTGATCTGATGCAGCGGCGCTTGCACTTCTTGCAGAATCCGAAGGATTGTGCGAATGCGCGTAAACTGGTGTGTAAACTCAATAAGGTTAGTGGAATGCGGACATTGTGTTTATAATGAAAAATAATTCTTATATTTTTTCTGCGCAGGGCTGTGGCTATGGTTGTCAGTTGCATCACGTTGTGTACTGTTTCATTGTTGCCTATGCGACGGAGCGCACTATGATATTGAAATCGCGTGGCTGGCGTTATCACAAAAGCGGCTGGGAGGAGGTGTTCCAGCCGGTATCGGAGACCTGCCTGGAGGCGGATGCTGCGCATGCAAGTAATTGGCCAGGACGTCACGATATGCCTGTTTTAGTGCTGCCCATCATCGATTCGCTAATGCCGCGCCCACCCTATCTGCCGTTGGCCATACCAGAAGATTTGTCGCCGAGACTCAAACGTTTGCATGGCGATCCAATTGTTTGGTGGATCGGACAGTTTTTGAAATACTTGTTGCGTCCACAAAAGGGCACGTTGGACTTCCTCGAAGCTGGGCGCGCGAAATTGGGCTTTAAAAGACCTATTGTGGGGTGAGTTCAGGTCAAGCGATGAAAAACTTGAAACAATTGGTAATTTGCTTTTCCTTTTTCCAAAACAGCGTGCACGTGCGCCGCACAGACAAAGTCGGCACGGAGGCTGCTTTCCATCCCATAGAGGAGTATATGACGCATGTTGAGGACTACTTCCTCACATTGGAAATTAACGGCACAACAGTGCCGCGTCGCATATTTCTCGCCTCCGACGATGCGCGTGCCATCGAAGAGGCACGCAACAAATATCCACAATATGAGATCATCGGCGATCCTGAAGTGGCGCGGATGGCTGCTGTCTCCACCCGCTACACGGATACCGCGCTGAACGGCATCATACTCGATATACATCTACTCTCATTGTCCGACTATCTCGTTTGCACCTTCAGCTCGCAGGTCTGTCGCATGGCATACGAAATAATGCAGACTTTATATCCGGATGCGGCCCATCGTTTCAAATCGCTGGACGATATCTACTATTATGGCGGACAAAATTCGCACAATCGAGAAGTGGTGATCGAACATGCGGCGCGCAATCACGAAGAGATCCACATGAAGGCAGGCGATTTGGTGGGTGTGGCTGGCAATCATTGGGATGGCTACTCCAAGGGTAAGAATACGCGCACAAACCAAGTTGGTCTGTTTCCCTCCTTCAAGGTGGTCGACAAGGTGGAGACCGTCAAGTTGCCGCTCTACGAGCAGGTACAGCCGGTGTGAGAGGCCGCCACACGCGCTGCAGCACGCACTATGCTGTGGCTGTTGTGAGTGTAGCGTGTGTAAATGTATGAACGTGGACAAGAGCGTATATAAAACTATTTATTTGTATGTAATTGGGGATTTCGTATGTAAATTATTTATATTTTTTTTTCTCCTTTTTTAATTTTTTTTTTATTGACGGTGGCACATTTGTTTAGTGCTGTGCAATATTATTATGATAGAATAGATTTTTTAGTGAACAGCGGTACACGTCAAACGAAGGGTTATGCAGTTTAAATATACACATATATTTTTTGTAATTTTTTTTTTAAATTTTGTTTCCAATAATTTACCAAAAACCGCACAAATCTATATTTTCTACAACTATACTTTGATTAAAAAACAATTTATTTTATTTATGTTAAAAGTGCTTAAGCTAATAATTAATTATAGTTGTAAATTAAGTAAAATCACCAAATTAAAAAAGAAAAAATTGTATAAAAAAATATAAAAAAATAGAATAAAAAAGGACGACATTGTTGAGCTGAACAAAAATGTAAGCAAAATCTTAGCGCAGTTAACGGTTTTAAACACTCGAATATTTAAATGTACACTCATATCTGTAATAAGCACCGTTATAAAGATCAAACAATTGCTTCGTGTAGAGCACGTCACAGCCACAGCCACTGCACCGCAGCGGGCGCACAGCAAGAGCTTCAGCAAAGCAATATTCCAGCGTCGAAATATGCATTTAAGTACGTTTGGTAACCAGCTCTCAAGGAAAAGAAACTGATTTAAAATGCGAAAAGAATAAAATTTTAAGAATTTTGTACGATAGTTTTACTTGAGGCAGTTAGCAATTCCGTGCACAATTATAAACGTATTTTCAATAGTGTATGTATATACATACATACATGCGAGTGTACATAAAATATACATATGTACATTTATTTTATTTCTCTTAAAACTTTACTTTTTCCAAAGCGTTGCATGTTGTAAAACTTTAATAAAAATTACGCGGCAAAATTCATATATTAAATTTGATTTTAGTTTTGTTCTTCTACGGTGTAGTATTCACAATGAATAATCCGCCATTAAAAAGCTCCTTTTTTCTTTAGCATTTTTTGAGAGCTGGTTTGCTATGTAAAATATAAAAAAAAATGAATAAATAAATGAACAAAGTAAAATTAAAATACCAATTGTTTGTATGTATGTATATTTAATGCAGTTTTAAGCATATAATTTGCCAGAGCAGTAAAATAATAGATTAAGTATCATATAAAACAAACAAAAAATAGTTTAAAGAATATGCACATACATATGCTAAGATTGGATTGATAATTTAAAACAATATAATAAATAAGTACAATTATTTAATAATAAGTACAGTTAAAAAAAACGTATAAAAACAGGTGTTTTTTATTCTGGAATAATTAAAATTAAAAAAAAAAAAACGATTAGCAGTGGTAAACATATGTATATCAGAGCACAACACTTCACTTGTTCTTTTCAGTTGGAATGTCTAAAAACATTTATTTTTCTTTCTTGGCATTTTCAATAAAATAGCTTGAAGCTTTAGACTTAACTCTTTTTTTCAAAGATTTTACTCACAATCGGCTGTCTGAATTTATGTAATTCAAACACATTAAGGTATCTCTTGATTTGAATATAATAATTTAAATTTATTTATTTATTTTTTAGTTTTTTTTTTAACTATTAATTTATGTAATAATTTTTATCGTAATTTTTCTGGCGCACATTTCTTGTTTTTCACTCATTGGATAGTAATTTTAATTTCTTCATTTTTTCCTTTCTTTTGTTTTGTATTTTTTATTTTCTTTTTTTCTTTAAATTTTTTGTTTTTAATTTTTTTAATTATAACTTTATTTTCTTCATTTTCTTTTTTTAATTAGTTTTTTTTTGTTTATTTCCTTAATTTTTTGTCTTCTGCTTTTAATTTCCGTTTTTATTAATAATTTAACTTTTTATTCCTTTTTTTTATTTATTTTCTTTTTCTCATTTAATTTTTTTCATTAATTTCGATTACTATTTTCGTTTTTATCTCTTGCTTCTTTTTAATTTGATTTAAGCTTTTTTATTAAATTAAATCTCTTCTTTTTAATTTTTTTTTAAACAATTGGGATTGTTATAAATTAATTATATATTTAATTGTTTTTGTAAATTTAATTTTCCATCTCTTAATTTTCTTTACTTATTTTCTATTTTCAATTATTTGAAAATTTTATTTTTTAATTAATTTGCATTTCATTTAATTGTTATTGAGTTATTTTAAATTTAAGTTTCTACTTTTTTAATTAAATTCATATTTTTGGGTCAAATAAAATTTTTTTATTTTCATTAATTTAGATTTTTAACTGATTCTTAACGTTATTCTTTATTTGAAATTTTACATATTGAATTTTTTTATTTTTATTTAAATTAAACATTAATTTTACCCTTTAAATTTTTTTATTATTTAACTCAAATTTTTTATTTCATTTAGTTTTAATTATTCGTTTATTTAAATTTAATTTTTTCTTAATTAATTCAGCTTTCCCTACATTTACATTTTTTTATTCAATTTTTTTTTCTTATTACCTTAAATTTGGTTGCAGTTTTAATTAGTTTTATTTAATAATTAAAATATCTTCTGTTTCATTACTATTTATTAAATAAATTTTACCTTTTAAAAATATATATTTATTATTTTTAATATTTATACATATTTTAATCAAAAGTTTTTCACAAACGAACGGCGAATAAAAGAAATAAAACTCCGCGCACTTCTCGTCTGAAGGCACTAAATGTTCCAACACTGTTGCCTGCTGCCAGTAAAGCGAATATATGACACATCTCTACTCAAAATTAATTCGTTGAAAATATTGAAATGCAACGAATATTTATTAAATAAAAGTGAAGTGAAAATGTCTGCCTGTAAAAGTGGTAGTGAAAGAAATTAATTGTGTGATAAATTGAAGCAAAAAAGATAGTAAAGAAAAACTTGTTCCCGTGTGAAACTAGATAAAACAAAAGAAAAATGTGTTTAACATTGCCGGGTGAGTTATAGAAAATGAAACCAGAAAAAGTGGAAAATATTAATTATTTTTCAAAATAAACAATTTGCCTGCTGTTCGCTGTCATTGTTGCTATTCGCTTAACCAATTTTGGTGCAAAAGTTATATGAACAAGAATTGACTCTTTAGACGATAAGATTTCCTTGTAAACCTGAAATGATTATTCAAACGTGTTTCTATGCTTTCCTCTAGATTTATTTAAGTACTACAAAATCACTGTGTGTTTGCTAATCTATTACTAAGGACATAAATAAAAGAAAGAAAATGACGGCTCGCTACTCCAACGCATGCGTATAGTCCTTCAAGCTCATTTGGTGAATAAACCTGTAAAGCGTTAAGCAGAATTTCGCAATCTGGAAATGAAAAAAAAAAATATTATTTAAATTTTATACAAGCAACATCTCACTTTCGCCTACTCACTCTAACAAAAGTCGCCGAAATGACTGGTATGTTCCATGGGCTTTTGAGTGTCTTGTAAGAAAATAAGTAAAAATCTGCGAAAATCTTAAAATCTAAAACATATCTGCCAGCTTGCGTTCGGGATCAGTGCCTAAGTTACGAAGCGATATGAGAATATTGCCAATCTTGAGCGTGGAAAAGTCCATTTGTAAAATAAAAGCGCCCCTAGAGCTGACGCAATGTTGGGCAATTGGGTTTGCCACTACAACTTGTTGCTTATCAAATACCTTGCAGACAGCTGGCAGTAGGTCCGAGTTAAGCTCCTCTTCGATATAATCTACCATTGACTTTAATAATTGGCGCTGCGTCGGTGTGCTTGCCTAGCAGCCTTTACAGTATACTACGCAACCAGTGATCCATGAACGCAGACTCCCTTATTGTCAAAAGAGTACAGTATAGTATAATTTTCACGTCTCACAAGGGCGTTGCAATACTCTTGGGAGGATATAATTGCTATGAAGCTACGGCTGATGTCTCCTTGCGCTTAAATTAGATTTTGGCATGTCCGCCGAGTCGGCTTTAGGAGTCTTCGAGAGAAGGTTTGAAGAAAATATTTGCAGTTATCTACGAACTGGCGACACTGAGTACAGCAGGCAATAGAAATATGCTATTTGAGAATTCGACGAGGCGATTACGATGAGGAGACAACGACTACGTTGGCCAGCAGAGGAAGAAGACATGTAATCCGTTGTAAAAACTGGATGTAGCAAGATCTGGCTTCGTATGGTATCTCCACCACAAGCACTGTGAGAACTAGTCACATTCAAATACGCCAATGACGATGAAGAAGAAGAGACTATAAAACGCCAGACAGGCATCACTAACTCGCCAGCCAGTTTGTGTGCGTCACCCTTGCAAAGCAAGCATAAATCAATTGTGAGAGGTTTTCTAGTCTATTTTCGGCACTACGTCTATTTGCTTTACTAAAACTGGCTGAATTGAAAAGTTTTTGGAGTGAGTTATTATATCCTACTTCCGTTCTATAAGAAAAATATTTCCAAGCGAAGCATTTTCTACAAAAAATGATCAAAATTCTTTTTCTTTTTTGTCATCATAGCCTTAGAGACCTTCGAGTCTTTCCTTTACGCCCATATTGTTGATAAAACTATAAAGGGTAAATGAGAACTTGGCGATCTGTAAGAGAAAGAGATAAAAAGAAAACAGAACGAGTGAGAGGAAGCGGTAAACGGTTTTTTAAGTTCTTAGAATGAAGGAGAATGAATATATAGAAAAAGAAGAAGTAGATAGTTTAACTCGACAAAATAAATCTTCGAACTCACACTGACAAAAGTCGTTAAATTGATTGGTATCAACTTGCCGGCTAACAGCTCCATTGGTTTTTGTGTGTGTTGCGTAAAGACTACCAACATTTTACGAAACTTCTCGTTCTGCTTTATCCAATTGGCATGGAAAATGGTGTTGGCCAAACGATTGCTGTCGTCCAGTAGACTTTGTCCGTAATAGCACAAGGGATAGACCTCCATTAGGAGCGCCATAACGTAGGCTAAATGGCCGACGCGCGCTAAGTTGTCCACTGCAAAAATCATTATATTGAGTAACGTGCAGCCAACCATCAGTGAAGTGGTCATGAATTGCAAGAAATACGTGGTCGAGATGATGGGATGTACGACGTCGAAGAGCCTGCAGAAATGGGGAGAAAATTCCTTTACAACTTCTCACTGCTCTAAAGCATACAAACAACTGCACCTACTCCAACAATAGCTTGTGATCCTTAATACACATTTTTAAATCTTCATAGTTTTCATCCAACGTACGCTCCGGATTTGAGCCCAATTTCTGTATGCGCATCAAAAGTGTCTTCATATGTGCGCGCATTATACATACAAAAATTGGCGCATACGAATCGGTTATAGCCTCTTCAGTGCACAGACCATCCATCAAGATGAATTCCCATAGTGCAGCCCATAAGAACGCTCCCTTGGATTTGCGCCAATCCACAACTGGATTATAAAGATTATATGGTGGCCGACCTTTGGAGGCGGCAGCTAAGAAGGTGCTTGTCGAATAAATTAAATTACAAATTAAGACAAGTACGAAAACCCGATTGCCCTGGCGCACAACCTTGCGCAACACTTCAATTTCATCCTCATCCTTACAGCGCGCATCTAGTTGGTGCATAATAGCTTCGCTGGCACGTAGTTTTGGTAACTTAAATGCCATGACTATCAATTTAACGCCACCCACGATAGAGGCAATGAACACCTGTACCGAAGTGAGTAAGTTGCCGATCTTAACGGTTGAGTAGTCGAGGTAAAAGTACGAAAGTGCAAAAGAAATTGGTAGGTAGAAAGTGATGAGGCCAAGTGGCAGAAGGGCATACAGACAGTAGAGTATTTTGTGCTTATCAGGCATGAGTACACCGAGTGCCGAGAAGGAACGATAGAGATATATGAGTCCGTCCCTTGAATGTATGTCATGCACTGCTTGATAGGGACGCCCAACTGGAGCCGATCTCTCCTTTGGGGTACGCGTGGCTCTTTCGAATTGTATGCGTATCAGCTCTGCATTGCTCAGCGATGGGGAAACTTGCTTTACAACATCAATGGATTTTTGAGTAGTGCGCGATGGCAGCAGTTGATTTAGAAGGCGTTGCAGGAGGTTACTCATCGCGTGGCTGGAGTGGTTTCTAGAGAGATTTAAGCAAATACAATATGTTAAAGAAGGTCACAGTACATTTATGTTTGGAGTCTAAGTGAAAAATTGAAAAATAAAGCAATAAAACAACAGTTTGCTAAAACCGATAATTGGTTTTTTTTATTGAGCCTGATAGTGTGAAAGTTATTAGTCATCTGTAAATCAGAACCACTTCAGCTTCTACTCCAATCCCAAACGCTCTCTGATGCCCATTTTCTCAATCAGTGTATACAAGGAGAATGAGAACTTTGCGATCTACAAGAATAAGAAGTTATTAGCCATAGTTTCCCAAAATGTTTCCCCCCACACAACCCAAAAGCCACAACTCACACTCAGAAAGCTACCCAAGGTTATAGGAAATATTTTGCCTGCATTCAGCTCCATCACACGCTGCGTACGTTGCATGAAAAAGATCAACATTTTCCTAAAGCGCACATCCTGTTCAATCCAGTTGGCGTGAAAGATCTGCTGCGACAAACGATCGCTGTCGTCCATAAGGCACTGCGCGTAGTAGCAAAGTGGAAAGACCTCAACGACAACAGCCAATATATAGAAACAAGATGCGACTTGGGTCGAAAATTGGTTGGCGAATATGAAAATATTAATGAGCGTAGCGCTAAGTATGCTGGCCGTAATCATGAATTGTATGAAAATTGTAATGGAAATTATCGGTGCAACAATGTTGTAAAGTCTGGAAAGATCTAATTAGAAATATAATACGCTTACTTACTGCCATTATACCCGAGTAGGTTTTTGTGATCCCTAATACACAGTTTGAGCTCTTCCAAATTCTGCTCCAAGCTCATTTCGGTACATGTGGCCAACTTGCCGAGACGTTTTAATAGAATATTCATATGCGTACGCAGTATACACACATAGATGACCGCGTAGGAGTCATCCACGACCTGCTGAAAGCAAGCCACATCCATAAGCGCAAATTCGATTAGCGACGCAGCCACGAACTCCAACTTGGACTTACGCCAATCAATAAACGGGTTGTATAAATCATAGGGCGGACGTCCGAAGGTGACTGAGCCAATGAATGTGCTGGACGCATAACTCCAGTATGACATAGCGAAGAGCACAACGAAACGGTTACCCTGTTTCACTATCTTGCGTAATTCGGCTATTTCATCCTCATCCTTGCAGCGTGCATCCAAGCGGTCCATATAGGCATTAGCCTTACGCAATTTTGGCAAGAGAAAAGCCATAACCACAATTTTCACCGAACAGCCGATTACATTGATGGCGACTTGTATGGAGGTGAGCAAGCTGCTGGGCACCAAATCCTCAGCGGACATGGTAAAATAACTGAAAACGAAGGATAGTGGCAACCAGAGGGTAACCAGTGAATTCGGTATGAGCGAATACAGCGAGTAAAGCCATTTGCGACGCGCCGGCATGTAGATGCCCAGCACGCGAAAGCCATTGAAGAGATAATTGGTCGCATGCTCCGTGCGCACTGCTAGTTGGTCTCCTTTTTCTACGAAGAGATGTAGCGCTGTATGAGATTGAAAATGCCGTTTGAAGATTACTTACTTTTTAGACCGTTATTCAGTGTGTCTGTCTGCAAGCGTTGACTGTTGATTGCGGTATCGGCCATAGTTGCAAACAGATCGGTGATTTTTTTTTTACTTAACAGTAAATTCAATATCAAGGCCACAAGGTATTTATAGCGAAATAGCGAAAAAGTAAATTTATAGAATTGAAAAGTTCTCAAGGGCATGGAGAGTGTGTGAGATGTGCGTACACAGAAAAAAATTATTACGCGTTCAACATGGAGTTTAAGAAATAAAAATAAACGGCTTTCGGTAGATATAATACAACAGTTTTCCAGTTTCGTAGAGAGGATTTCTCCAGATTCGAATGACAAGAACACCTCCAAATCTTACACAGTTCTTACGAAAGTACTTTTTTCAATTTAAAATAACTTTTTACAAAATTTATTGCTTTCTAAAGCGATTTTTTCAGTGTATTATATTTAACACTTTTTTTGTAGTATTAAAAATTAATTTTTGTCACAATCAATAATTTTATAACTTTCTTTAACTAACTTTTATTTAGCTGAAAACTTTTCTTTTCATTTCAGATGGCGCGTGAACAAACTTGTTTGGGTAAAATTCAGAAGTGGCATACTTAAAACTGGTTATTTTTGTAATAAGTTCTAACTACTTACCGCTATTCAATGCTGATAAATACTGTTACAATTGCTATCCGCTAATTGATTAATTAACCTTCCGGCAAAAACTCAACGAAGCTGCATTGAACGTTACAATTTTTATAGTAAGTGAAACGTTAATGCTCATTAATTATTTCGATAATTTCATAATAATTTAGTTATAAGTGTGTAAACAAACATATTTCACTGTTTTTTTTTCGGATACAAAACTAAAGGGTTACCGTTAAGTTATCAGGTGTACAACTTTGCTTCCGCCGTTTTTTTTTTTTTTCAAAAATTAAAAGCTTTATTGTGAAAAAGTGCTTTCAGATATATTATTCAAAGTATTGTCCTTCGCTAGCGACAACTTTCTCCCATCTTTACGGCAATTTTCGGATTCCGGCTCGAAAAAAGGAGTCCTCTTTCGATGCTATCCATGAAGCAATCCATTTTTCCAATTCTTCGAAGGATTGAAAATGTTCATCTGCCAGGCCGTGTGCCATCGAACGGAATAGGTGGAAGTCAGAAGGGGCGACATCTGGGGAATAAGGCGGGTAGGGCAAGACTTCCCACTTCAGCGTTTCCAGGTACTTTTTGACCACTTTTGCGACGTGAGGCCTAGCATTGTCGTGTTAGAGGATGACTTTGTCATGTCACTCTTGATATTGTGGCCGCTATTCTTTTAGCGCGCGACTAAGGCGCATCAGTTGCGTTCGGTAGCGATCGCCTGTGATGGTTTCACCCGGTTTTAAGAACTCGTAGTAAATCTGTGAAGGTTTTTTCTCTTCCACCATCACGTTTGTCTTCGACATCGAAATCACCATTTTTAAAACGTTGAAACCACTCCAGAGCAGCATCACCGTAAGTTTCTGAGAGCATTCGATGCGCTTCAGCTGCATTTTTTTTTCGAATTGTAACAGAAAAGTAAAACTTCCCGCAAATGGCGAGAATTAGGCACTTAAACGGACATTTTCGAGCGTGAATAATACGAAAACAAGAACAACTGTCACTGAAACGGCGATGTCAATTCGTTAGGCACTGTCCACACTCACTTTAAAGGTATCATCATCTACGTATTGTATTTCAACCAACCTCAGCCGGTACAACCACCTATCGGAAAACGGCGGAGGCAAAGTTGTACACCTAATAGTTTCATTTGACAATAATATTTTCAAACTATTAAATAACTAAAAGTACTTATATGGGTAAAAACCACTGAAGTGATTTTCGGTCGAGCTTCACTCGAATTTGTGGTATACATACGTATTGATGTTTTTCCACCAACTGGTGGAACTCTCGGTATTTTCTAAGCCGCCTCCGACAGGTAGATACATTTTTATGGAGAGATTTTTATTTCTTATCAGAAATACACGTCTTTAAGTTGTTTGTAAATAAATTTATTTGACAACATGTAAGAGAAAAGTTCCTACTCAATATGTAGTCTAGCTTTTTAAACTGTTAATAACTTTTCGTACCTATTGGTAAACCCTGTACTTACATACCAAGCGTAACTGTGTCCAATTGCTTCATTTCACTTTCACAATATAATATAATGCATTAATAATGCGTTTAATTGCTGTTGTGAATATTCTTAGGGGGAGTGATGTAAGGTGGACTCTCTTACCGTAATAATTATAAAAAGCCGAAGTCCCTAATTAATATTTTATATGGGAGATCTTTAAATTAAATATTTTTATTTACAGTTATGTTTGTATGGTTATAAAAGCTTGTGGGTCGTATTTCAAATTCTTGAAATCCTAAGAAGACAACTCACCTCTTCTCTTGGTACCAAGAAACTAATAACAGCGAATTTTTAAAAAATTTTAGTTAGCGATTTGTTGTCTGCGGCAAAACGATTTTCAACTTAACTGCTGAGTGACTTTTAATTGGCGTAGAGATTACAGCCGAGGCCAGAGGCAAGAGGCAAGAGCAGCATGTCAGCAGTTTATTCTTTGCGCAGCTCGTACCAATTGGCTGCACCAAGAGAAGCCAATTTCTTCTCCATATAGTTTTTTTTTTAATCCTTATAGAACGACTGATTTCTCCTTACTCCAAAGCAGAACAGCAGTTGTTAAAGCCAATGGGTCATGTTTCTATACGCTATGTTGCATACCGGTCGTAAGAAGTAACTTAAATTCAGAGCGAAACTTGCAAGGTATGTTAGTAAATAAAACAAAAATATAAAATTGGTTGAGCAGAAATCTGTGCCTTCTCAAAGAGGGTTTCCATTATGGGAAGATATGCTCTCAACGACTTACTGCGGGCTTTGAGAGCTCTTACAAACTCGCAAAGAACTAAGTTGAGTTCGGCGGCCGCTCCTCGGCAGGAATTGTTGACATTGATGAGTGTATTTGTTCCATGAAAATTGATCGTGCTTTCATTGGTACGAAAAAATCAAGTTCCACACCACTCCAAATCAGACCAACTCGGATTTTGAAATTCCCTTTGGCTGCTACAAAGCACCACGACTCGAAATATTGTGTTCAAAGCGAGTGCAATCTAATGTTTATTTAATTAAGTGACAGTGTTAAAATAAAATAGTTGTTCAATATAAGTTTAGTATTCTCCATTGAAAATATAGGTGTTCACACATAAGGGGCGTTCTTTAACAAGTCCGATACAAGTCGCTTACTTTAGCAGTTTCTAGGCTCACTCGATACCTAGACGCTCTTTTAAATTCATTTTCTCTATAAAAGTATACAACGAGAAGGAGAATTTAGCAATCTGAAATGAGGAATTAGTGAAATGAGTTTTAAAAAATTAGGCTAAAGCCACCGCTGGTCCACGCTTTCAACGCACTTACACTAATGAAATTACTCAATGTCACCGGGTATAATTTGCCAGCGGTTAAAGACATTGGTCGTTGGGCATTTTGTATGAAAAAAATTAAGAGTTGTCGATACTCCTTGTTTTGTTCAATCCAATTCGAGTGGAAAATCACATCCGACAATCCTTCACTCTCAGTTATCAGACATTGCGAGTAATAGCATATCGGATAGATCTCGATCAGCACAGCGAGTATGAAACAAAAACAGGCTACACGTGTAGAGAAGCCATTCGCAAAAATGACAAAATTGATGAGCGTAGTGCCAACACAAATGGCTGAGACCGTAAATTGTAGAAAGAGCGTTATCGAGACGATGGACGCAATTATTTCATAGAGTCTGTATTGCCATAGACATTAGTGAAATCTCTTAGACCTTTGATTGCAAAAGGAATTTCATACTCACTCAAGCAACAACTGATGATCCTTAATGCACAATTTCAATTCCAACAAATTTTGTTCCTTTGTAAGTGCTGCGTTGGTGCACAGCTTCTCCACACGCGAACGTAAAATTTTCATATGAGTACGCAAAATATTGACGTAAACGACAGGACAGCCATCGTTTACGGTTTGTTGTAGGCAAGCCAAGTCCATTATTAAGAACTCAAGCAGAGAAGCGATTATAAATTCGATGCGTGAACGCCGCCATTTAAGGAAGGGAAAGTATAGTGAATACGGTGGGTAACCGAATGTGACCGAACCAAGAAATGTGCTGGACGAGTAGATTAGAAAGATGGTCATATAGAATATAATCACTTTTCGACCAAATTGCTGCATTTTACGCAACTCATTCATTTCATCCGGCGTACGACATCTATTATCGAGTTGCTGAAACACGATCTCCGATGTGCGTAGCTTTCCCAACAGAAATGCCATTATGATGAGTTTTATTGAACCAGCGTATACATCAAATGTGACCTGCAACGAGGTGAGCAGATTACTGACGTCCAAGTCATCTTCCGGTAATGTGAAAAATATGAGCGTAAAACCGATCGGGAAATAGAGCGTAGCCATAGAGTTGACCGCAAATGAATATAGAATGTATAAAATCCGGTGGCGAGTAGGCAACATAATGCCCATACCGAATGCGGCTTTGAAAAAATAATTCGTAGCTTCTTTGCTACTCGCTGGCGAAGCGACTAGAAAAGTTAGAGAGAAAAACACATTTCAAAGTAATTTCTAAGCATCATGATACGAACTCTCACTGGTGCAAGTACTCGTACCCTTACCGAATTCGCCTTGTTTCTCCCGCACCGCGCTTGCAGGTTTTGCGGGTTTTCGCGCAATGCGTTGTTCTTCGCCATTCTTTAACCCAGATAACTTTTCTTTAGACAGCGCCAAAGCAAGTTTATTATTCTCAGTTTCAGCAGCCCGTGCTGATTGTTTCCTAAACCTGTTCATCTCGACGTAAACTTCAAACTTTTCCTTTAGGACTAAAAGCAATTGCTACGCTTTATATACGCGTACGCTTTCCCAAGGTTCAGAACAACAAATAGTTGAGTTTATAGTAGGAAATATTTAAATGAAAAAGAGGCGGGAATTATATCTAAGGACATGGGTTTTTAATGAGCTTACCATTTCTGTTCACCCCCTTTTGCGAATTTGACGTACAAACTTCTACTCTGACAACTGCAGATGAAGCGAATTTATGGGCGGAACTGTAAGCCAACCTACCAAAAGCTTGCATAAATAATTTAGCTGAATTTGTGCGAAAGTCAGCTGCCTAAGTTGGTTTTTTTACATTTTGTTTTTCATTAAGCAAGTTATAGGGTTTTAGTTATTGCAAAAATTTCACTATTTAGTAATTAACAAGTCGTTAGCTCGTTGTGTTAGGAAAAAATCAAAAAACGAAAGGGCCAAAGTCGGCCGCGGGTACTGTTCCCAACCGCGAAAGCCTTTGAGTGGACTTAATGTGCTCTCCTTTCCTTGCTCGATTGATGTTGTTGTTGTTGTAGCGATTCGCTAACTCCACTTAGGTACAGGTTTGATCAGTCTAAGTCGCCGAGGTCATCTAGTGGTAGGTCCAGGAAACGAGATGTTTCGACGGGGTTGGACCAAAGGGAGAGGGGGGTTAGATGAGTGGGTTTGAGGGGGCATGTGAAGAGTTGATGAGTTACTCTGCTGTTTACCTGAATCCTGGGACATTGTGGAAGATACGAGTATACCTTCGCAATTGACTGAAATTCTAAAACTTGGCAAAGATAGTAGGACAGCGCTTTACGGCACCGCACTACATTGATTGTACTTAGAAACATTTCAGGGTGTCGAGTGATTTTGAGGCAATCGATGGTGACAGCCTAGTCAGCATGCCCGCCTCTGTCATCGTCGTCTACATCACTCTGTTAATTGCCTAAAATTGGTGGCTAGTGGACTGCTGAAAACCTGATGGTTTTGACGGTCTCAGTAATGTCTATAATTTGTGCTTGAAAAAATGGAATTGTAGACACCTTTGCTTTCGGGTTTGGACCGAGTTCGGTTATAACTTGTTTAACGCCACCATATCCCATTTATCTCGGATTTTAGATGGGTAACCGCTGAAGCTGTAACTAGCATATATATAGGTCTGATGTCTTGTCTTTGTTAGATAGTAGCACTATACTGATTCATATTATTCAGGACCTCCAAGTTCGGAGCTCTTCGTTAGCGCTGCTTTCACATGTTTTTTTTTCAGAAAAGTTTTTTCTTTTCAAGATACACAACGAGACTGAGTTAGACACCATTATGATACTACTTTTGAAGAATATTAGTTTAAATTATTGATTTTTTCTCGTGAAGAGGTGGACCTAAGATTTTTTCGGCTCTATGGTAAGTCATTGTATCTCATCCCTTCTACTGTCTGTCTGTCATGTATGTTTGCTCAGTGACAGCTTGACCGGATCAGTTATATACCACACTTTCTTTAAGTTATCCACTGCATGCTGTTGGCTTTTTTTTATAACACGCAGTAGCGAAGCCAGAATGCCCCTTTTGCAGTATCACAACAGTATGGCCCAATCCAACCGAAAGCTACTCACTTAAGACCAGGTTCCTCTAAAGAATTTTATAAAAATGGAAATTTGTTTCCTGCAAATTGTAAGAAAATACTCTTCAAAATAATATAGATTTAGTCCCGAAGGCCCGCAAGGCTAGGAATTAAGTACAAAAGAGGGGAGAACGGAGCGCGCCAAGCAGTAAATTCGACCTAAGAAACACTTCAATCGCTTTTTTTCTCAAAACCACGTTGTTTCAACTCGTTGACACTCATCAACATGAACTGAACGGCATTTTATTCCTAAAATATCTTTCCATAAGCAATTAAAATTTAAAAAGGATAAAAAAAATTAAAAAGTCCATATTTTATTTTTTGGTGAAAATCTTTCAATGTAGTTCCGGCCATAGCCAATGCGATACATAATAAGCAACCGTTTTGATTTTAGCTTTCAGATGATTCATTTTACAGTTATCGTGCCACTTACTAATAAAAGCGAAGTGTTTCAGCAGCAATTTTAAGAGTCGCCATTAAAAAAAAAATTTCAATTAATATTTTTAAACGTTTAATCATCTAAAAAACATTTATAAATATTTTTTTTTAAGTTAATAAAAATTTTTGAAAAAAAAAGTTTTTTGGAGGAACCTAGCCTTGACTGAATAAAGTTCGCAAATTAATTGATAAAACCGCTGAAAAGCCGCAAATTTCATTTTTTTCTTTTTAAATGCTAAGAAACTTAGTAAAATTTTCACTAAATTTAATGATTACTTTTCAAATTCGATTGCCCGGAAACTACAATGAAATCGAATTTGTCCGTTTATTTTGTTTTGCAGCTGCTTCTTCTACCGTGCGCCATTCACAATGAATAACCAAACTTTCACATAAAAAAAATATTTTTCCAGTACATTTTGTATTTTATACTTTTACATTTTACGTTGTTTTTGACGCTTCCTCAAGAAAGAAAGAAAGATTACAAAAATTTGTTTTTTTTTTATAAAAATAATTTATTCGAATTTTTCGTAATGTCTTACCATTTAAATAAAATGGAGCTACAACTAAATATGTGAAAAATACAATAAATATACATATATATATATTTTTAATCGCAAATTTGTACAGTAAATTACTAAAATATTAAAATCTAAGAGCGCTTAATTATAGCAGAAAATTAGCAAAAAAAAAAAAATTAATTAAAATAATTCAAAATAAATATGTATGTACGTATATAATGTATAAAAAAATTTCATTTTGCGACAACAGTATTATGACAAAAGTGTAGACTAGAACAGATTAACAATTATAGTTAGCGCAATATAGATTTATATATATATAAATTTATATGTATAACGGTTGACATACATACATACATTCATATGTACACTTTTTATGCACTGCACATATTGTTTTTTGCTGTCATTAACATATTTATGTATATATGTATGTATTTAGTTATGTTTGAATACAATTGTAAGTCACTGTTATTTTGTTGAATTTCGTAGTGTTTTTATTTTATTTTCTTTTGGTTTTTTGATAAAACAATTTAATTGAGTTTATAAGCTTACAACGTTTTGAATTTGTTTATAAGGATTCTCTTTGTTTTGTTTATTTATTATAATTCTTTCTTCAATTAGCTATGTATGTATGTATATATTTTTGTTTTTATTGTTGTATATATGCATGTAGTTTGAAGTGAAAGAAACGCATTAAATACTCTTTTTTTTCATATATATTATGTAGTATAGTTTTCTGTATGTATGTATGTATGTGTATGTGGGTGTTTTTTTTTGTTGTTTAATTAACAATTCGACTAAGCAGAAGAAGCGCTATTTATAAAAGTAACTACTTAAATATTTATGTTTATATATCAATATTTTTGTTTGGCAAAATAAATATATAATTAAAGAAAATACAATACATACATATGCAGGTATACGCATTTTTGTTTTATATAAATTTTCAAAATAACATTAGCTTATAATACAATACATAAATACATACTAAGGCTGACTACAAATAAATATATGTATATATATTTTTACTTTTATTTGGAAAGAGCAAAACGAAACCAGCAGCTGGAAGAGTGTCAATTCTCTGTATAATATATTCTTTAAGCTTTAAGCACTTTGGGCGAATTGAAAACGTGGAAAGTTTTTGAGATCCCTCATTTTCTTTCACTAGCAAAAAGTCGATACACAGGACTACGCTTGCGAGTAAAAATTTTCAGCACGCGTATATTCCTTTTTCTTGTGTTTTATACACATATATAAATATTTTTATTTTTGAGATTATAGAAAAATCCGTAAATTTTCACTCGCTTTAATGGCGCTTAAAATTTCTGAGCTCACAAGATTGCAAATCTCTTTCTATTTTTTTTTTTAACGAAAAATAGTTTTTCGCGTTTTGATTATGGTGAAATAGAAAATAAACCACTCGTACTGCACACTATGACCCTCACTGGAACGACAACTTCATACATATATATTTTCAAGTAGATTTTTAACATTTTTTCTTTCTTAATTCATTTTTTTATATAATTTTTTCGAATTTCCTACATTTAATCTCACTTTTCAGTGCAAATAAATATTTTTCTTTCATTTTAATTTACACAATTTTTAAACAAACCATACGAGCTGTCAAAAATATGCTATTGTGAATGGCACAAATATGCGAAAGTCCCGGTGGCGCATATATAGAGTATTTATTAGCTGAAACCACGTCACAACAAATGAAAAATTTTCACATTCCAGCAGGGTCAAAAATCGCAAACGGCGCATAAGACGGTTCAAAGCTTGTTTGTGTTTGAAAGTGGCGCGCATATTTGCGCTTGTTTGGGAGCGCATGTTAATGTTTGGCATGAAAAAGCCTTGCTCTGCATGGCGCTGCAGCAAGAAGCGCAGTGTGTCAAGCTGCGTTTGTTTAATTTCTACAGTCAAGTGTGGTTAATTGGAATTATATTCAAGTGAAAAAAAAATTATTTTATTTTCTGCGCTTATCAGTGGTGTTTGACTGTACTGTGGTGTTGTTTTTTTTAGTTACTTTTGTATTTTTTTACAATTTTATATATGAATTCATAAATACACATGTGTTTTTTTCAATTAATTTTTTTTTATATTCGCTTGTCTTGCACACTTATGAAATTACATCAGCCTTAAAGTTATGCACCTATGTTTTTTATATTTATTTATTTGTTTTTATATTTCTTCTTTAATTCTGTTTTTAATTTTTATTTTTTTTTATTTATATCATTTTACTTTAAATTCATTTATTTGTTTGATTATTTTTTAGTATATGTATGTATGTGTTAAGTTTGTTGAAGAAACTTACAAATTCTTAGTTTTCATAAATTCAAAATTCCAATTCAAATGCGTACATCTCTCGTTGAATATAAATTGAGAGTTTTTTCGTTAGCTTAATGAATATAAATATTAGTACA